GTGAATGTGTCATCAGCAGCTATGCTCTATCCACTGCTGGATGGCAGCCTTCCTAAGCCTTCACCATTGATTATGGTCTTGTGAAGCAACTCTCCATCTCGGTCTTGTTTCCTCCTTTGGCTGCCACTGTCGTTGGTCTCTACCACCAACCACCATTCCTTTTGTCAGCCCTTCTAGCGACGTAGCCTGCTCGGGTCCACTTCTGTTATGTTAATATATCTACAATTTCCAAGGTTTTCTGATCATCTCCTGTCTCTCAGTGTAATTTCAAGAATACCAAGGGTATTCTTGAAATTACTTGCTTCTTTGCACACTTTTCTGCTTTTTTTCCACACGCCTAAACTACATGGCCCCCAAGCGTGCACTTCTGCCCACTCACGAGTGCTGTAGATACAAGCACGAGTGCGGAAAGCTGTGTGTGCTGGGAATCAGTGGGCAGCATTCCTCAGTGTGTGTAGGTTGGCGCCGGGCGTCATACATAGCAAAGTGGAGGTGCAGCTCGCGTGAGTCAGCCGCTTGTGGGAAGCGCGCCCAACTCCTGCGGTGCTTCATTATTGGGGCTGGCTGAGTGTGAAAGCTGCTTATACCTGGGCACTTGGTGCAGCAGTTGGCTTCACGGATGATCAGTATGCTTGGTGTACTTTGTTTTGTAATGCCAGCATATTGCAGCAAAATTATTAAGAATGATAGAGCCATAAGAGCAAGATGGTGTTATGGGCGATCGGTCCTTAATGTGGGTGGTTTTGATGTGATTTTCTTCGTGCATCATAAGCCGTTGGTAAATGTGAAAGTCTGGTTGCACCGGCACATAGCTTTTGCATATTTTCTTTAATGCGGTGACTTACGCTGTCAGAAATTGCTGAAGGGAAATTATATAATTTAACATTGTGTTTTGTGTCCAAAGTGGCCCCTGAATTTCATAGTGGCACTTTGGTGAAAGTATTGTGCTTTCTGTTACCTCCTGTGTCTGGTTGTTCATGCAAATTTTATACCAAGAAACATTTTCCCAAGTATTTTCTTTTCTTTTGGGATTCAGTGGGAAATATGTTTCTGTGGTACATTTTCCTGGGATTAAAATTTAAATGGAAAAACCATGTCTATAGTATGGTCACACCTCAATGTCACACAGGCATGTTACGTGTGTACTAATCCTAATCCTGTTGTTAACGGTGCTTTCAGAATTGCAAACAAGTGTAGGCATTGCAGTGAGAGGAATTGAAAAGATTGTGTTGTGATAGGCTAGACCGAACACAACACCAGAAGCAGCTATAATGCTCGCGGGTGTCATTGCAGAAATTGGCAAGCATAAGAAAGGCATTATCCACAACAATGTTAGCCACAATTACTTTTTCGATTTAAAGCTTTCGTGACTGCAGGGATTCATATTCTTGGTTCTTTCGGTAATGTCATGTAGAAGGGAAATAATAAAATAATCAAATAAAACAATACAATTAAATTTCGATTTAAAGCTTTCGTGACTGCAGGGATTCATATTCTTGTTCTTTCGGTAAAGTCACGTAGAAGGGAAATAATAAAATAATAAAACAAAACACAATACAATTAAATTCTCATGACGTTTCGGCCACAACACAAGCAGCCGTCCTCAGGTGAAGAACAGAGCTGTCGGAAAGACAGCGTCTCAATGACCACTGCTAAGCTTGGCAGCGTATTTTAAGCTGGGTGGGAGGAACAGAGTGCCTTGACAAAGGAGTTTACATATCAATAGAGCAATTTAGCATATTGACGCTAAAGAACTGCAACTACCCTACTACCATACAATAAACCGATGTGAAACATTACTTGTTTATTATTGACATGTCACGTCTTTATTTTATTTATGAAATGTGACACAAATAGACTAAATATGGACAGAACTATAGTCGTTATTATCATATTTTAAATAACCCAAAATAATTACTCCAAAATGCAATGGAAAAGCATTACCAAAATGCATGTTCATGATAGCTGATGCATGTGGGGATACCTGGGTCAACATGGATTTACATAGGTATGAATATATGGAATGTATGTAGGTGTGAATGTGGTCCTTTGCACATTTGTGAGATATATATTAATTTGTAAAAGCTTCAGCAGAGCTGATTTGGTAACATGAAATAGGCTTTAAGGATAAGAGACCAATTTCAAGCTTAGATTCTTCCAGGTATGATTTTTCTCGTTAAGATATTGTTTAAGGCCTGTGCTGAAATCTCTGATAACCCGCACAGTGATCTCTGATTACATCTCCGTTTTGGTTTCTTGAACAGTGACTACATTTGTAGCCAGTCATAAAGAGTTGTGACCAGCTCATGCAACAACAGTGCGTTCATTCCTCAGTAGTCACAGTAAATTGGCCTATTGACACTCGGCTAAGTGACATTGCTTCATGTGGCCATTACTCCCGGTAGGCACCCGTGTCCTGAAAAGTCAGCAGCGGTTAGATCCAAACTGGCAAATTCCTATCCTTTCAGAGCTTTAATCTGGCTTGAATGGTGGATCGCAGAAAATGTCATCGCAAAGGACATCACGACCATACCCAGCAAAGAGGCCAATCAATTTAACTCAAGCGCAAACCTTTTTCCCCAGTTAAATTCCCATTGTGCTGTGGGCATCGATCCAGAGGTCGGTTAAATTTCCCGGCACGGCAGTTCAAAGAATGGACAAGTTTCTTATACCCCCCCCCCGGTCCTGTCTACCCACCAGTATAACATCTCTATTGTCGCAAGGACACCCATGAAATAGAGCCTAACAGGTTATTGTGCCCTTCCTGATGAAATTAATGAAATCTATCAATACACTGTAAATGGGTACACTACAATTGGTTGTTCGTGTAATGGTGGGAGCAAGCAGTTGTATCGGTTTAATGTCATGAGGCAAAGACATTACCATTCAGAACTGCAGCTAACAGTGCATTGCCCTGTGTCAGATATTGGCCCAGGAAGATTACTTCACGAAACTATTTGAGGTCACTTCAATAGGCCTCTTAATTCACACGAGGGGTGCAATTTTTATATCCCCTGTATAGAATGCTTGTTCCATGTCAGTCAAACAGAATTTTACCTAATTCAGTGAAAGAAAGGAATTTACTGTGATGGGGTTTTTTGTGTGCAGTTATTGTTTACCGGGCTGAGACTGTGAGCTTGCCAGACTTGAGAACCAGGTTTATTCACGGACAGCTGAAACCCGGATTTGAGCCCTAGCACTCGGTGGTGCCAGCCCTGTGCTCTGATTCCTGAACAACCCAGCTATCTCAAACCTGACCAACGTTTTTTACCCCCCCATCTTTCAATGGATATTTTCCCTACATCCTAATTGGTACCCCTGTTTTTTTGTTCTTGGCTTGTCCAAGGCACGGATGCGTCCTGTAAATTACGTCCTCGTTGCGAGTTGAGGCGCCACCGCTTGCCTGTGGGGTCTTGTCCATCACGACGGCTGCAGTCGCCCGTGCCTTCGAGGAAGCACTCCTGCTCCTAGCGTGGTACCACCTGTAGTGCCGTACTGTCCCGTGCCACCGCTGTAGTGTTTTGGCACCAGGTGTGATCGTGCGTGTAATTCGAATTAACAGCTGCTTGCACACAAAACCAGAAGTGGATAGCGTTGAGAATGTGGGTGGCTCGGTGTTTACGCTGACCGCAAGCTGCGCACCGCAAATACGCTCCCGCCTTGTGTGTACATAAAATCAGCATGAATGTGTGCATATACAGGTGGAGCAGTGGCTCAGTGATTAGCGCACTGCAATATAAACGGGGCCACCTGAGTTCGATTCCCTGCCTCGGCTAACATCGTTGACGAGTGATATCTAAACCGTTTCTTCACCCGCTTCATCAAGGGGAAGTATGGTCAAATAACACCCATGACCGACCTGGTGTGGGGGTGCCTTCATCCACAGTAGTGAATTGACAAAGGACTGACATTTTTGTCTGTATACAATGTGCTCACTGTGTGTAGACCATAGTGTGGCATAATAAATGTTATGTATGCAGGCAAATTATGTAATGCGGTACAATGCAATATATATATACGCTCCATATATATAAGCATTCGGTAGCATCTATTAATTACTTGTTGAGCTTGAAAGTAAAATCCTGCATATCGGAATATGTATTTTAGTGGTCTTGCTGCCTTTGTGCATGCGCTCCCACAGAACGTGATGACAGCATTAGGAGAGCCACACAAGCGAATATTCTTATTTTTAGCATTCATCCCTAGCAACGGTGAATTGTTATGAACCAGTGCACTGTGCTGTTCATTGCGTGTGCAATAAAGTAAGTTACGTGTTAATGGATCCTTAACCCGTCTGTAAAACACGATTGGTATGTGTTTTTTTTCCTTCCTTGTGCAAAGTTTCCGCTGTATTCCTTGTGGTTGAAATTATTATGCCTGCATCGAAGATACTGTTATTTGTGTAAGATGCATTTCGGGGATTGTGAGGGCTCAATGTAAATATGTCTGTGGGTGAGATGTCTGTGGTTCTTTGTGGCCACGTTTCGCAGATTTGAGGGCACGGGTTGTATCTGGAAATACAAGTAGGGGCAGTTCTGTGCTTTGAGCAAAATATTAAAAGGGCATGGCACCGTGACCTGCCATTTTCCTCTTGCTGTAAGGCTAATATATTGTTCACATGAAAGGGCATCTGTTTTTTTTTATTAACCATTATTTGAATTGTCCAATTATAGTTGGATTATTTAACATTAAACAATAGGTCAAACGCCCAAGTGCCCTTTCATGTGTGTGCGCGCGTTTTTGCAGTGATTCACTTCCATGTTGTTTTTACCTATAAAGCACAGCTGTAGATATAATACGGAAAACAAAATGTTTACAGCAGCCTAGGAATTTACTGTACATTTAATATAAGTGTATGACCTGCAGAGTATGCGTTTACTTTTGCAGATGTAGTTGTGCGTGCATGTGGCGTGTGTATCTGTATACTTGACGTTTTACATCTTGATATTTACACCCACGTGCGTACGTGTGTGTGTGTGTATGTGTGTGCACACGTACAGGAGGCATGGCAGCTTCGGGAGGCCCCCAGCAATGCGTGTCGCGTGTTCAGCTCACCATTTCGTGCCGCAGCCTCCTGGACCGAGACATGCTCACCAAGTCCGACCCCTTCTGCGTGCTCTTCATCGAGTGCGACAAGCAGTGGATGGAGGTGAGCAGCAGCTGTGAGCACTACACGGCTCGCTCAACCGCTCTGCGAGCGTCTTTCCTGCCTCACCAAGCGAGTGCAGGAGGTGGCTGCGTTTAGTCGGGGGGGGCGGGGGGGGGGGGTGTCTTGGTGTGCCGCAAGGTGCAGAGCCATGCCAGCCCTCCTGCTGTGCCAAGTTTGGGAGCCCCGGCAAGATGAGATGGAAAATATTACCGTCTTACTCTTTCTGGATGGCTTTCTCATACACAGGGAGTTTTTTGTGGTCCACCCTGAGCCGTGGTAGATTACTTGAGCGAAAATTGTCTCAAATTTCTGCAGTTTTTATTGGTTTCAGTCATGGTTGATTCTGGACCCTCCCCCACCCCACCACTGTTTGGGTCAGAAGCCTAAAAAATTAAGCCACATTTTTCAGCACAGTAATGGTGGCACGGACAATGTTAGCTGCAGCATTCTTCTGTTTAACCGATACCAACAGTAACTGTTTGTGGGTAGAATACGTGGTGTCTTGGCAGTACAGCTTGGAATATAACCATATGATACTATACACGATTATATACAAAATTAAACAAATGTTATGAAATCTACATTTTCGTGGCTGTGCTTATTGCTCTGTTGTAATATGTAGAGTTGACGTGAAAAATAATCCTGGCGCAACATATGTTTTACATTTTGCACAATTTAAAGCAATTTGTTCACAGTGATGGGATTCCACGATGCTGATGATGTCGTATAAACTGAAAGGTAGAAGATGAGGTTTTAAATTTGTAATGCCTACTCTTAGGTTTTTTGGTAAAGTCACGTAGGTAAAAAATAAATAATAATAAATAATAGAAATAAAATAATAAATCACGACGTTTCGGAGGCAACAAAAGTCCCCGAAACGTCTTGATTTATTATTTTATTTCTATTTCTATTATTTTTTACCTACGTGACTTTACCGAAAAACCTAAGAGTGTGAATCCTTGCAGTCACGAAAGCTTCAAATCTAGAATTTGCAATGCCTGCTCTCTGCTGTGATTCTGCATGCGCAAATGGGCAGGTGGCACGCACCGAGACCATCAAGAACACGCTATGCCCAGACTTTTCCCGCAAGCTCGTCATGGAGTACCGCTTCGAGGAGGTGCAGAAGCTCAAGTTCGCGCTGTTTGATGAGGATGCGCCCTCCGCCAAGCTGGCTGACCACGACTTCCTGGGCGAGATTACCAGCACCCTGGGGCAGGTGATGATAATACTAATATGAATTACAATGCCATTTAATAATGTAGAAGAGCCTCACTGTGTGTTATGGCTTACTTTGAAGATGGGCCACTGCATTGGGATTTTTGTCCATTTCCATGAATTTGTGTTTGGCTTCAGGTGGAAAGAAAGCAGACTACTGGAGAAACCCACAAGTATGAAGGGATAACACAGATATATTCAATAAACATGATGATGCAATTTGTTAAATCTATGCTAGAACTGTGCCCATCACTGTACGACTATCTCCTGACCACCACCTAGAAACCCCATGCCTGCAACATGTGGTATGCATTGGTTGTCACGCATCTAAACACTAACCAGACCCATCCCTGCTCCGCTTCTGAGATCCAACAAGATTGGGTGTGTTGGGAGTGATTTTGGTTGGAGGCCAGCTTTGGCAGCTCTTGTCTGCTCTTTGAGTTCATGGTTTTGGTTTTATTTTGCACGATGTTTTTTTCTCTGCCACCTTCCCTGTTTTTTCCTGGCAACGAGCAATGGTTGGCATGGCTGCAATCGACTGGCCTTGGCTGCCAAATGTTGCTTGGCTGATGATTTTTACAGGGGTTGCGTTGTTTGCGTGAGCGGCCGCGTTTTATGAGGATTCACGAGTGTGTTTCGCTGCAGGGGGTTTCTGCGTGCATTATTTAGCTGAGTGAAGCACGCCTCAAACCTGTTGAATGGTTTCCCTTAACAGCCGTGTTCTGGCATCCGCCATGACACAGCCTTAATAGAGGCGTCGGGTTAGAATATATTTTTTGCGCTTTCAGTCAGATGTTAAGACAAATACAACTGCCAGTGTTTTTTTATTTTTCTCGTATACATTTCTTTCTTGTTGAAAGTGTTGGTGGTGTTTGCTCTGACAGGGCACGATACCAGTACCAGTTGGTCAGATTGCCTTTGAATTTTAAAGCTATAATTTGCTTCAATGCCCACTCAGTGCGAGTTTTAATGCTATGTTTGCAGTGCGGGTATGCGTGTTAAGTGTGAGTATTTTGAATAGATGAATTCGTACATGTTTATATAAGATGTATTCGTGATCACCGTTTAATGTATACATCACTGCCTAATAATTATAATAGCGGGCCTAGTTTTAAGTAAATTAACACGGTTGCTTGCGAGGATTCATTCCTTTATTTGTCATTTGTTCCCGACTTACGCAGGGGCTGAACTGCGAAAGCAAAAATCACACACTTTGAAGTGACATTGGCTTGGCTTACTCGAAGCTCGTTTGAAACAACTATTTAAAATTCTCAGTGCACTAACGCTTTGGTGAAAGTTCTTTTTTCAGGAACACACCCTGTCGCGTTCCTTTCTCTGCATCTCCTAAAAAAATGGCACACCTTAATTCCATATTCTCCTTTACCTTGACTACGTATTAAGTGTGGCAGCATTGTGGCTTTGCACAATCTCAACATGTATGTATTTAGTGGCACTGCGAGTCACACTCAAATTTTCTGTTTCACCTCAAACATTAAAGCAGTGAGTGTACGCCAACTATCATCCGGTGGTTAATTGCGCATCATTATTTGGCGCTTTTGTGCATCAAGACTGTTGCCTATTATACAGCGAACGTGAATATTTTATCGCAGCAAATTTTATATTTTTTGGTGCCTCGTTGCCCATTCAGTAGGTGACATAAAAGAAAATCGTTGTTTAGTCGCAGTTTGTTCCCCATAGAATTAGAGAGGATCAGAACTGGGACATCTGTGCAGTGACAGCGCACGTCACCATGGCCACCACGTCGTCTCGATTACAAAGCACGATTGATGTGCTCTTCCACAATTTTGCATTTCGAATGAAAATGATAATCAACCGGCTTTTGGTTTTTACTCATTGAATGGGGCCACTTATAAGAGCGTACCATGGCTGCACAAACACATGCGCACATGTGTGTTTGTTCGTTTATGTGTGTGTACATACACTCGGGAGAAAGAGTGGGGAGCGTTCGTATATTGGTTAGCGCATTGCTTTACGAACCCAATGCCCTGAGTTTGATTCCCGCTCATGGCGAACATCGGTTCCGAATATTTGAACCGGTCCTGGGCCTCCTGTAGATGAACTCATCCTTAAATGAGTACCTGGTACGGTATGCAAACATCAGCACTGGGGAGACAAAGGTGGTCGGGCATGGTGCTGGCCACCCACCCTCTTCACATGCCATGCTGGCCTAAATAGTTCCTCGCTATCAGAACCTACTCCAACAGCCTGTATGGCTACAGTGGGGAATCTTTGTCTTTGTATATACCCTTGAATTGATGTTGGGGAGTGGGGTTTTGTCTTTTCAGATAGTATCGCACAGAACGTTGACACGTCCACTGCTGATGCAAGATGACAGACCTGCTGGCCGAGGCACGATCACGGTATGGCAAGTGCCCTGCGCCGCTTTCACTCCGGGTTTACACGGCTGTCCTCCATCCCTTGGAATGGGGTCCCTGTGGAGTCATGGGCAGACGCACAGGTTCTCAGGCTGAGCGCAGTGTCATCTCTTTTAATGGCGACATCTTCCAGCTGCTAAATACTGAAGATATGAAACGTGTGATTGAAAGGCACATTCTTAGATTAAAATGTTCTTGACTTATTCTCTTAATTAACAGTCTCCAATTCAAAGTTGATACGAATTTTTCATAGTTTGTGCATGCGTTGAGAACATGCAATGAGAAGAATTAGAATAGAGATGCCGGTGCAAGTGAGAAGAAGTAGGGTGAGATGTGAGGATGTGGTGGAATGAGATATTAGGACAGTGCATGTGACTTAGAGAAAAGTCACGAATAGAAGGACATGGAGAAATAAACTGCAAGCAGCTGACCCCTTGCAAAAATCGTACTTTTGGTTTTAAGAATAAGAATTTGCAGTAATTTTTTCAGCAATCCCCATCGCGATTATATGCTGGGTGAACAGGGTGACTTGATGTGTCTCGACCAGCAATCAGTTGCAGCTGTCAGGCTCACATATTTTAAATGCACTGCATTGTGTACACGTGTGTATTTTATTTTAAACAGCATAGCAGTGTGTTGCATATATGTATCCAATAATTATTGGGTCTTTCAGTAAAGTCACGTATATAGGTGCAAAGAAAATAATAAAAAATAACAGAAAACTACGACGTTTCGATCGCAACACAAGCGGTCGAAATGTCGTAGTTTTCTGTTATTTTCGATTATTTTCTTTGCACCTATATACGTGACTTTACTGAAAGACCTAAGAATATGAATTCCTGCAGTCACGAAAGCTTTAAGTCAAAATTGTATCCAATAAATCACGTGTTTTTATTTCCACTGAATCAACCCTCTCAATCAAATGTTGCTTGCTAGATGGAATTTATACAAATGCATGTAATATAATAGGGTTATATCAGATGATGCGGGCGTGGTGCATGGAAATAGACATGTTATGCGTGAGGTCATAGCTAGAACGGGTCACCGCTGGCCGTGGCAGCGGTTAAAGTGAGAATGCCGCTCGTTACAGTGTGAACCCTTCAATTTCACACTCTTTTCTGGCGTGGGATTAAAATTACACCTATTTTATCAAACATTTTATTGTCTTCAGTTGATGTAGTCAGGTTTCTGTTGTACGTCATACAGAGGATCTGCTCATCTTTATTTCTACTAAATTTAGAATTCTGGATATATATAATAGATTCCTGATAAGAAAATGGAATAGGAGAGTGATTGTCTCTGTACCCTAATTGCCCATTTGATCTGGAGCATCTGCAATGGCTTCAAGCACCATTAGAATGCATATACTCCTCATCAGGATCGTAGTAGAGCTGTGCCTGTATGGGGCAGTTAGGAGGAGAGAGGGAAGGAGTAACTCAGTTCGTTTGTCTAAGCGTGTTCGACTGTGTGTGTGTGCGTGTGCCGCATCCCAGATATCGGCCGAGGAAATCACGGACAACAGAATAATCACCCTCAGCATGGCGGGGCGCAAGCTGGACAAAATGGTACGTGTGAGATACGAGCACGTCAAGCCGCTATCGCCACTCGCTCCGTGAGGCTCGATGTGTGAGGCTTGATCGTGGGCCCCGTGTGTCTACATCTCCACGTCCCCATTAAAAGCAGGGCGACGAAATTACCCGCTGCATCTGTGTCAGGTGGTCCGGCGCTTTTTTTCGCTCTTTATTTGTTTTCTTTTCAACTGCAGACATGTCTCCTTTATGCATGACGCAGACGCCCACTGCAGCGCAATCACACGGATTGCGAACAATAATGCTCATTGTGGTTGTTATCTCCGACCTTTGAGCAGGCATGCTCACAGGGGCCTTGTTATGTTGCGCCGCTTATTCAGCCTCCCACAGAGTTGGCTTTTAAAAATATTATTCTTGTTATTATTTGGTTTCACAAGTGAACCCTCTTTATCATAAAAAAAATGCTAAACATTTTCTGGCAGCTTGAAAGCCACACGTAGCTCGGACATCTAGCAGAAGGACTATTAAAACCAACTTCAAAAGCCCCTGATGGAAACTGCAGTGAAATCGTTTTATTTTAATAAACACATTCTCACTCACTTTGAACGTTGGTAAAGGTGATCTATTATTGAACACTCGTTCAGTTGATTGGCTGAGGCTGCTGGTTTGGTGTTGCAGGGATGGTGTCTGTTGGTGTGCGGTATTGCTCGAGTAAGCTCTCACTATACTACGATTTTTGGCACAACGATACCGATGCTTAATGATTTATACGACCGTGATTACAGAATAACGGTTTTCACTCCCCCCTCCACTATATAAATGTTCAGAGGTGTTTTCATGTTCATTAGTTACAGGGGTGGGCTATTCCCCTGAGTGAGATTGTACTGTTTATGCACTAACCTTGACAGGTGGTCAACAAAAGGGATTTTATGTCTAGATAAATACATTAATGTTGGTTCCTGCTACTTTGTTGCTTGGCCAGACTAGGAATATAGAGGGGTTTTTTCTTTCATATCTGTTACAAGGAAGGCGAAGTGAGCAAGCTATTTAAATCAGAAATCAATACTTCAGTTACTGTGACGGGAGTGAAGGCACCTAGGCTACTAGCGGTAATTGGAAGAGTAACTGGTGTGCTGAGGATTATGGAGGATGGAGGGATGGGGGCGGCTTAGGACAAGAGCCGTGCTAGTTTAGATAACAGGGAGTCAGACGAAGCGTACATTATACGGCGTACATGGAGAATATGAACTATTATTTTTTTGTCAGTACAATCATGTGAATCTCATTGTGTAGATTGTCGGGCAAAATGTCATCAATCTAGCAATCTACTGTATTTGAACATGAGATGGGCTTGGGGTTTTTTGTATGGTCCGGGTAATTTGGGTTTCAATCGGGATGGTGCCTGCATTTCCTCGCCTAAAAAACGTGTTGTGTCAAGCCCCTGATTCTTGTTTACCATTGTCCTGTGTGTGTTTCTGGCAGGACCTCTTTGGAAAATCAGACCCATATCTTGAGATTTACAAGCAGAGCCCGGATGGCACCTGGATGCTGGTGCACAGAACCGAAGTGAGTGTTTGTCATATTACTTAATTCCTGCATTCTTAATTTTGGCATTATCATCGTGATCACGAACGTCACCATTATAGTAATCAGCAGTGCTGTTGTCCTCAAATTCATTGCCATCTTTTGTGAGTCCCTTATCACCAGCTTTCACCACTCGAATGTGTCTTGCTTAAAACCCGGTGAACGTCACACACGCCGTGCTTCCCCCAATCGGCACCTATCTATTTAGGGGGCCTTTAGTCTCCCTGGCCCAGCCATAAATAGCCACCGGGATGTGTTGTGCTTTGCGAGCACCACCTTCCGCCCACACTCCCGACACGTGGCTCGGTGCCCACTCCAGCTGTGCTCTAACGACGCCTCTCCTCTGGGCACACCCCTCGTCCCCTCAAACAAGTCACGTGATTGGCCAAACCATAAATACCCCTTATTCACGGCGGAGGGATCGATGCTCATAGGAGTCGGCGATGTCAGAGCTACAGACAAAAGTGGAGGTTGCCCATAGCCGAGCGTGATGATAAGCGTGCTCATGGCGGTCTGTCTGAAGCGGTGGTGATGACACTATCGCTTCAGAAGTGGTAGTGATGAGACGGTTTAACTCTCATTTTAGCCATGAGCACTTAACCAAAAAGAAAATCTGACATTTAAATCCAGTTACTGCTGACCAACCGTGCTAATCATTGGCATCGACCAATTAAATCGTTGAGATGGGCTGGTAACGAGTGGACAGTCTGTCGAATCATTGCCACTGATTAGTGACTCCAGTCATTTGGACTGAGTAGTCGCTAGTGACCAGTCAAGCACATCATTCTCATTGAGCGGTCCAGTCAATGAGACTGATTGCTCCTTACTGGCAATGAAACCGTTTGCCTCCCCGAGCAATTTGGTAAAATCGCTAAATTTGATTTGAGAGTTGATTATTTTTTGCCTCGTTTTTACCATCTCGTTTGTTCACTCTCGCTTGTACTGTGTTTCTCACACCATTAACCTGATTGTCACAGTTTCATGTAATAGTCACCATATAATATTAATAATAATATACAGCCTTTTATAAATGTACTTCTGGATGGTCTCAATTATTCAAATATGTAAATGACAAGAACGCCCATCACAATATAAAAAATTAGAGCAGACCGGAAAACACATTGAATTATATCTCATTACTCTGATAATGCTTGTTTTTGTGCTGTACGCCTTTTGGCGTCCTCTGGTCTAACACTGTTTTGAGACTCGGCTCAAAAGAAAGCTGTCTCTGGTGTGGACCAATCAGTTTCAAAGACAATGCATATATTATCAGAGTATGTTTTTTTGTTGGCATTCTGACCACAAGTATTGTGGTTAATGCAGACATGATACCTTGTAAAAGGTTTCAGTTCAGTGTTCTAACATCTTAGCACCTGTTTGTTGCCAGAAAAAAGGGGAAAACCTATTCTCACACATTTATATATTTAACAACATAACTATATATAGTCTCATAAATGCAGTTGGTCGTGGGGACTTTTTGACCATACTTCAACACACTTTATGCACGCTGGTCAGTTGGGGTTGATGAAGTTGGGAACCATTGACATGGGATCATAGAACTGCAGTACAGCAATGGATTTTACATTGTGGTCACCCATTACAAACACTATCCAGACTTACCCATGTTTAGTTTCTGTGGTCTGACAAGCTGAAGTTACATTCTGAGTGATTTGATCATTGGTGTAACATGATCGAATCTCGGGATCGTGAAAAACGATGGCAGTTTGTCAAGGCCTACATCCAGCAGTTGATTGATCATGGCTGATGATGATACCATTATCAGTAGCCTAAGATATTTTTTGCAGTCTTTTTGCACATTTTTCCTTCACTATTTTTCTCGAACATATCTATATATATAAAAGGGAAATTTTGTGAATATGTGTGTCTGTTCAAAATGTTTAGCATACTTCCCGTCATGCAACAAACTTGAAATTTGGCACGTGGGTACTTTCCAGACTGTACACCATGGAAAAATTATAAAAATAGACTTTTGTATTTTTTTGGGGGGGGGCGGGCGTAATAATGGATATATTTTGCACGGCAAGTGAGCTGTGACGTCACACCTTTGTCATGTCACCCGCATGCGGAAGCGTCACGCAGTGTGCCTGCTGACGTTACGCACCCCCCCCTCCAACCCTCCGCGAGTACAGTACCATACAATTGTGTTGCAGGTCTAAGGCGTTCTTCGCGCAGAATTGCTTTATTATTTGAGTTGTTTACTGCCGTACGCACCCTAAAAGTTGTGTGTGTCTGCAGCAAGCGCGTGTATGTGTACCTATGGACGCGCGCGCGTGTGTGTGTGTTGGGGGGAGCGGTAGTGCAGTGGTTAGCGCGCTGCGCTACGAACCCGGCACCCCGAGTTCGATTCCCGCTCACGGCCACCACCGGTGACGATTACTTGAACCGGTCCTGGGCCCTCCCCTAGGTCGACTCAGCCGCAAACGAGTAACTGGTGCGGTGTGTGAACATCGCCACTGGGGGGAGAGAGGAGGCTGGGCGTGGTGAATCCAAGTCCCGGGTGAACCCGGGTAGTAAAGCTAGTCAATAAATATATTTGCTTTAGCAAAGTCAAGCAAACACAGCTTCTTGACATTCCTGAAAAAAAGTTTTCAATATATTTTCAATCACGAATGTAGATTTATATTTAAATCAACTTCAGTCCAAATTATGTTGGTGTAAATTAGATTTGGAGCTGTTATGCAAGAGCTGTGGATACTTTTGGCAGCAATTATCCTCAGTGCTCAGAGGTCACTCAATAAGTGGAAGTATTAATTCTAACCAATTTTTTCCCCAGGAATTTTAATCGGCAAATTAAATTTTCATTACATTATTAATATTATTTAATGTTTTGTAAGCCAGCGTCGTCGTGACTTGTGGGTATATAATTGCACTTGTCCAGGCTAGCCCACTGAAATAATTCTTAATGCCAGGCTTACATTCGAGTCCGAAGTGAGGGATTCTTTTTTCTGAGAAAATACACGAGCTTTGGGTGAGATGCACCTGGGCTTCATAATTTCGAGCCGAACGGGTATTCAGCAAATGATGTAGCACGAGCTATTAGCTAAAGGGAGAAGACGACTAGGACGAACAAGGCTTAGCCCCCTCAAACCTCTTTTATTCAAATACAGCCTGTGCTCTACAATGTTCCGAAGCAGGACTGTGCAAGCTAGCACAAGGTCATTACAAACAGCACCCGTAGAGGGCTGAAGCAATTGGTGAACCAATGCCCCCAGACGTGTCAGTCTATTACGCGCTTGCGCAACCTTGCGTACTTTCATTTTTGGACATCGATTTTCTCAAGAAAGAAATATATGTATGGAATATATGTTTAATTAAAAACGTGTTTTATTTGAAAACAAATATTTCAGCCCCACCACAAATGTATAACAGCCCACCCATACAGTATTTGTACCTGTGGCCTACAGGCTTAACGATTTCTAGCTCAGTACGGTAACAAAGCGAGGGCCCATAGGCATGCAGCAATGCATTGATTGATCAATTTAAAATACATTTGTATGCACGGTACACGCATTAAAGCAGTGGTTCTTAGCCTGGAGTGCATGCACCCCCTGGGGGTGTGCAAGATGCCCTTTCTGGGGGTGCAAAACATGGCAGATTTTTTTTAGAAGGTAAATAATCAAAAACACAAATTAAGCACAGGCACATAGGTACAACTACTTTGTTTAATCAAACCTATGTGTTTATTAACATTAAATATGTTTTAAACGATTGAGAACCAAAGGGGTGCAGGCTGCAGTAAAGGTTAAGAATCACTGCATTAAAGCATGCTTGTGAGAATCAGTTTGTTTTGTGTATGTTGAATGAAATAGGTTCACGTGACCTCTGCAACCACAAAATGTGCTATCGTTCACCACAATAGAAAAATAAATATCAGCTATAAAATCTTAATTGTGACTCTAAATCGTGAATATTTGTAGAAACATGAGGGGAGCGAATCGTCACATGCCTAGTACTAACACATATCATCCTTCCACAAAACACTTTGCATTAGGTCCATGACCCCATGATCAAGCTAAATCAGTATCATGATTTAAAAATAATAATAATTCTGTGGTGGAGCAGTGACACAGTAGTTAGTGCACTGCACTATGAACACAACAACCTGAGTTCGATTACCAGCCATGGCTAACATCAGTCGTGAGTGATATCTGAATTATTTAATCGACCTGCATCGAACAGCGTGGTAAAAGCATGTTCAAACAACCTCCATGACCAGCATGACATGGGGAGGCCTTCATTCGACAGCATATTGACTCAAAATACATATGTATTTTTTATGAATCTATAATAACATTGGTAATCATATGAAGAAACTGACCCCCCCATCAAGGGAATGTGAACTTTCCACTGATTTATTTTCACCGCAATGTTCATTTGAGTGGCTTTTACTTTGATGAATTCATTTGTGGGCTTGGACTGTTTTAGCTTTCCGATGTGTTGTCAGGTTGTTCCGTGTGATGTTCTGTGCGATGTCTTGATGTTTCACCTCACCGTGCTGGGAGCTTCTTCAGGAAGTGAATTCAGGAAATGGATTCAGCTGGGGGCTTTGTTGCAATTCATGCCGGACAAACACACCGTGCAACCCAAAACTCACAGGAGAGCTATGCAGCGCAACCGCAAGACCCACGCAAGTGCTTTCTTTTATTGTTTGAGCACCTGCAATAGGTGTAGCGCTGAAGGATGTTAGTGGGCGTGAGCCCAGTACATTTAGGTTGTCTAGACAACTTCCTAATGAATGGGAAGGTTGTCCATTCTGTTTGGGGCACTTATAATCTGAATGCTCGGTTACGTGCCTCTGAAAGTAAAAACGGGACAGCACAAATTGGCACAAGGACAGCTTTGTATTGCAATTGTCACAATACTAGCCTCTGCCAGTTTTAGTCAGATGTGCGTAAGAAGGTGATTTCTGCTTGAATGCATACTAGTGAGTATAGAAGTGCAAGGGAAGGGGGGCAGGGGGTGGGGGGGTGATCCTCGACGTATGTGGACGCAATCTCCCACACGACTCTCGTCCTGCACCGGCGGCCTCCAGGTGGTGAGGAACACTCTGGACCCGACATGGAAGCCATTCACCCTCCACCTGCAGGTGCTCTGCAATGGGGACCTGGAGAAGAACATCAAGGTATGCATATGTGCAGGCAGGGAGGCAATAACAGAAAACTCACCCTTGGGTAACTGCTGTGCACCTGTGGGAGCTGCATCTCTGAGTCGTCCTTATGAGGAGGACCTGGTTTGTTTGACATTGATACTCTTAAGTAGTGAAGCTGAGCCCTTCTATAAAGGCATGCCCCTAACGACTTGCGTCTTTCTGATTTTGCCTCTGTTAATATCGTCAGCCATCATAACTCAACTTGTGCATGAATTCCTCCAACATTAAGATGCTAATGCGTGCAGTAAGAACAGTATCCGATGGAGAGTGCTTAAACATGGAATTGCATTTCCAGTAAGCTTTACAATATAATGGTTATAGCTAACAACAGATTAAAAAAACCTCCAGACAAAACAAAACACAACTGATGGCTCTGAACCACTTATAGTTACAGCCATAAACTAACCTGCATTGTAGGCACCACTGGTGAATCACCAGGATCCTAAACAAACACAACATCAAGGTTAGGTTAGGTTCGGCACCTTCCACAATGTACAATAACTGCAAGCACCGGTTAAAGACAAACTGTCAAGAAAGGTGTATACAGATTTACATGCAGCTGTGGCCTTCATTGTGTTGGCCAGACCAGCAGGAGAATCATTGTGCATCTGAAGGAAGGAACACCAGAGACGGATCATATACTCACAGTGTAATGCATCTGCTGTCGCAGAAAACGCATGTAAAGTGGATGGACACTGTGAGTGCAAGTCTTATGCAAAAATAGGTATTCATGGCAACGCGTAACCAGATAAACGAATGAGATAGAGATCAATAAAAACAAGTTCATTAGAACTGATAGTTATAAAGTCATTTCTGTATGGTGCCACGTTTTCAAAAACAAGTGAATATTTAAACTGTACAGTACTACAGGCTAAACCCAATTATACATCAACAGAGCCAGCACAACATATGTAACCTGATGATTAAATTGTAAAAATAACATGACAACTCAATAACCACTCAAAGTAACACCATGCAGTAGGCTAGGAATCTTATGTCAATGAAGCCCTATTTGGAGAAAAAATTGACGTTTTTATTGAAATGTTGAAATAATTCACTTTGGCTTTAGAATAGATTTGAAATATATTTCTGTTGAGGATATTTGAAATAATAATCACATTAAAGGTGGCCAGGCCCAAATTACAATGAGACAGAGGAGGTTGGCATTGTCACGGTGGGTACTTGAGAGCGCACAGCTGAGGCAGCCTCGCTCAGTTTTCAAAATCACTTTCCAATGAAGTTCACTACATGGTGGCGGGATGTTTACTACCTTGCCTGGTATACAGGAGGTCATGGGTTCGATCCCAACCCTGACGCCTGTATATTTGGAGTTTGCATGTTCTCCCGTGGTCGCATGGAGTTTTCTCCGGGCCCTCCCGTTTTTCTCTTCACATGTAGAATAAAGCATTTCAGGGTATTTGGCTGCTATACAGTTCCACATGATAAGCCACTTCGTTAAGCCTAATTTGTGACCAAGTAGCTTCTAAAAAGAGCTCTTTAGCTCAGTGGGCCTTAGCTGGTAAAATATTAATTGTTACAGGCAACCCCCGCACCTTCAACCTAATTGGTTCCTGGCCGACGGTCGTAAGTCGAGCCATCCTAAGTCAAACTATTATTTCCCATTAGGCACATTGTTATAAATTTGGATTCAGTTTCTGGAAACCGATTATATACCATAAAAAATACCTGAATTGACCACGAAAATAAATGGAAAAACTCAAACATTTATTGTAACTGAACATAACTTTTACAACTATTTATTAAGTAAAAGAAAACACATTTGATCATTCTTATGTACCTTTTATGCATTTGCATTACATTTCCTCTTCTCAGAGGTAACGAAAGGCGAAATGTTTTTTACATGTGAAGAAAATTTACAAAAAAGTGAAGAGCGTTGTGAACGAGACGCTGCTGCGTTTACTCTAGGCGCAGCTGCAGACTGATGTACATACGCATATGGCAGAAGAGCAAAGGAGTGCCATCAGGCGACGAGTCGGTAGTAAGAAAGGTCGTAAAAGTGGGGGGTCGCAAATTGAGCCGTCGTAAGTCAGGCGTCACCTGTAATAGTTAACTAGTTTGAACGACACATCATATGTTGATGTTAAGTTCAGTCATGAAAAGTCTTAAGTAATTGGTGAGGAGCTTTATTGGTCAGTTTTTAATCAAAACTTTGGCAAATATAAGTAATATCTTCTTGGTTCTTTCAGTAAAGTCACTAGAAGGGAAATAATAAAATAATAAAGATAAAACATAATCAAATAATTCTCACGACGTTACGGCCACAACGCGACTTTACCGAAAGAACCAAGAAGATGAATCCCTGCAGTCACGAAAGCTTTAAATCGAAATACAAGTAATATATTTTGTAAACGTGACAATATTGCCAGGTGGTTTGAGGTTTAATGATAACGATTTTTGACGTAAAACTAACCTGTGTGGCTTCAGCAAAAAACAAATATCGATCGATTACATGGATTGTTGTGCTGTGAGACTAAGAGAGATAGTGGCAGCTTAGGGAGGCCGTCATCTTGGCTGATGATGATTTTAATTCCGCTCTTAAATCTCCTTCTTTGTGTTGTCCAAGTGGCACACGCACTTGCTCGCTTTCGTTAAAGCTCGTACGTTGAGCTCGTTTTGGGTTGAAAGGAATCTATTTCCTGCACGCTGTAAGAACACTACTTTGAACTCTACTTTTACATAACATGACATGTAGAAATGCACATGGGTAGAAATTGCAATGCTTTCATGTTTCGTAAATAGATCTACGTTCAAAGCTTACATTTCTACTGCACGCCTTTTAATTGGGTAAGATGAAGATAATTCTTGTTTTTGTCATAAAAAATTACAAATTATTCTTTGCTCGAGGGGCCCACGTGGGACATGAAATATAACAGCACAAAAAATACCGACGTTCTTAATTTGCTTTGCACATCTCTCGTCACTTAAGTTTTCCACGATTAAAAAGCATGTCTAACTGAAGCTTTAATATGCCCATTATTGCCTTTTAAAAGGCTTTTTGGTGTACATTATTTGTATCATTAGGTCAGAGCTCACTAACCAGCAGAGATTGCATCTACATTGCAGTAAGTGCATCTATTTACATAAAACTGACACTAATTGGTGGGGTTTTGTTCCTCATGCTCTTGGTCTGCAGACAGCAGGCAGTTCTTTATCTTTTTTCCAGCCAATTTGCAATTTAAAAGTTAACACTTTCCCCACACAGAAGAAAACGTGTGAGAAATTCAACGTGGAGATTTATTTTTTTCTCTCCGCTTAACCCAACGACAAAGAAACATGTCACGATGACCCGTTCGGCCGTGACAGTCCAGTACCTTGGATATTTCTTTGCCTTCTCACAAATATCATCACGTCAATTTGTAAATATTCGCGTTCATGGTGGGCGTAGCGGCTGGAACAGCAACTGCGTGAGTGTGTGCTCTCCCACGCTTTAATGAAAAGGAGATGATTAATTTCAATTGATGGACTGCGTTCTCCGATTCGGGGAGGGTGAACGGTACACCTCGATAGCTTGCGCTGGTTGTGGTTGGGGGGTAGTGGGGACGATGCAGCGAGCGGAGGGGCAGTAGAAGTGGGGGAGCTACTGCTGTTCTGTTCACGGTGCGGCTCGTGTGGCCGCGTGAGCAGCAGGGCTGTGCGCAGAGAGATAAGCCGCTAAAAAAGCAAAGAAGAGCACGGCGCCTCTTTGGGGAAGATGCACGTCGACGGCAGAATGCTAATTGTGAGAACAGTGTGTCATTGTTACGTGGCAATTGTTAATACAAATAATAAAAATGTGTTTTTAATGTTTAAAAAATGGAGATTAACTAACACGTGCAGCGGACACCTATGGGCTATCTGCCCATGGATCGTGATGATGATGAATTTTAGTCTGGTAATGCGTTAATATTTGCAACTATAATTTGTATCCTTCAGCGATATTTCAGATATGTTTATGGAACGTTTATTTTGCGTTTTTTTTCTCATTGCCGTGAAAGATGAGTGACATGCAAATTTTTTTATTTGATGGTTTATATGCTCATGTAAAGGCGCTAATTCAATGCAAGTAAAAAAAACACATTTGTTTAACTCTTCTATCGTTTCATTGTTCATCACATTGCATAATTCCTGGTCATTTAAATTTTCATTGTGTCAGCGTCCTTCAACCTCACACCTAACCTGGCCAATTTCCAACACTGTACCGTGCATGCTTTTACCAAACACAAACCCTTTCCAAATGCCAATAATTTGGTTGAAAATGCATTTGTCCACAAAAATTACCAATTTGTGATGACCAAAACAATAACGGGGTTCCTAGAGGCGGTTGCTGCTATTGTCACAGTACTCGGCAGGTCATAAGTACAAATTACAGTCCGGGGAGGCGAGGGGGAGGTCAACACAGCCCCTCGTTCCTCATTGGATAAAATCAGTAACTGCTTTGCGAATTCAACAGTGGCTGAACTGCATGCTGGCTGTCTCTGGGCCACGAACAGAGATGAACACTTCACACATCTAATTTAAACAGTGACAGACTTAGAATATTTACTTTGATCAACAATGGCAGGAAACGCATGACACAAATAGCTAGCTCTTTAATGTATTCATGTATGTATGTATGTTGAACTTCTTTCACACTGTACGTAGGCAACTGTGCTAATTGGATGTGCGGGGGAAGCATGTGTTTTCGGCTTGTATCCTGTATTGTTTGGAATGATGTCCATGACGTGTCATCATGCAGAAGAATACACAGTACATCCGAAAAACCCATTGGAGAGCTGTACGGGACTACTGCGAAAACGTTACGATAGCAGCTCACAAACAGTTACTTTCTCGCTGCTGCCACCACTGCCGCGTGCAGGTCGTGTGCTACGACTGGGACCGGCACGGTAGCCCTGACCTCATCGGCGAGTTCTACACCAACATCATTCGCCTCAAGGAGGCCTCCGGCAGCATGGAGGTAACGTCCACCACGGGGGACCCCACTCTCGCTTGCCACCCGCCATTTTTCCGCCGCAGAATTTGCGCAGGTGCCTGTGCAGGAGACGGTTCCACCTTTCAGCTAACATCACGTGCTGATGCTGCCCCCTTAAGTGTACTTTGTCCACTTTGACAGTGGCATATTTCGGGTTAATCAGTTAAATATTAGGCAATATTGCAAAACTGCCAGCTTGGTCAGGTTTAGAATAACAATATTGTCCCCTTAGCCATGAAATGATTCACCCGCTGCTTAGTGATTTGCCAGATTTTCACGAAGTGATGCCACTGTTTGAAATGCTAAAGACCATTGAAAAATTATCCACAGATGGTCATTTAGTTTGGTAATGAAATGCTATTTTCCGTATTGCAGATGTCAGCTGGTGAGTTGTTGCATACACACACAGCGCTTTAGGTGAAGGCGCGCTGTCCAGCAATTATCTTAAGGTTCGTGTTTGACAAGAGGCTGTTCAATTGAGACCTCAGTCCATAATGAAGACACGAATACTAATGAACGTCAACAGATGGATGCGGAGCCTTATTCTCAGTTATCTCATTAGAAATGGTATCGGAGTTACATAAGTGAGCATTTGGAGTGGTACCATACGCACAATCCCTGTAATTTAATACAGCAGATGCCAGATATAAGCACATCGCTTGGGAGTAAGACAAGGTGGTTTATATCCAAAGTGTGCTTGTATAGAAGTTATCCTTCACCTTCTCCCCATCAGTGTAACTTGTCTTGCTTACATCAGAACTGTGCTTATATCCAGCTTCTGTTGGAGCGGCATCACGAATAGCTTGGCAGTTCCTATTTCCTTACTTGGTGAAAAAACATACAATTATTGACTTTGAGACAAAACTCCCAATGTGCTGTGAGCTTTTGACAAAAGTGCCGTGAACGTGAGTTCCACAGTCGGAAATGTTTGGCTGTTGGAAGTGCATGGCTCTGCAGTACAGTGGAGTGCAATACTTAGGAGATGAAACGCGTGGCTTTGCCCTGTGGCGGAATGCATTGGCGACCGGGCCGCGTGGGGTTCAAGGTGTAAGCCAGGAGGCGGACCGCCACTACCAGGCCAGAAAGCCCTGAAAAGGGGTTATAGGGGTCTGTTATCACGAGGATTTGTGGGACTTAGTGAAAATTCCTCGGTTCAAAGAGCCGCGCGGAATGCAATCTTACTGAAGGAGAATGTACAGTAACGCGTCGATATACCATTATAATTACGGCGCACAGTCTCAACATTTGCCGCAAGAACACTCGCGGTGTGCTCCTGTGTAACGTGAAATTGTTAAATATACACGGGCACAGGCAAGCAGCGTGGGTTTCATGTCAATCGATGCCTTTTTTTTGCGTGAGCTGTGTTGGAGGTTCTTGTTTGGCATCGTGGTTAGTTGTGCTACTGTCTGAATCATAAACATACAAATGTAATGGAATTCAGCCTCCGTATTGCGTTGACATGTCAGAGTATATATTACCCCAGGGCTATGAAAAGATTGGAGGTCTTGTTATTGCAAGATCGTTTTGCTTGGGTAAGTGACATTTAATTTGACTTTTTAATGCCTTTTTTTAGCTCAACAAAAGGTTGAATTATGCAGGAAAACAGCTTCACAGTTGACAAAATCCTCATTGGGTTCTTTAAGCACTCGTCAGTATACCACGTTTCGTTAGGATCTCATTGTCTGATTGGCCAGTGTCACATGACTATATAAAAATATATATTCAAAGATCATGGAAAAATCTCCTCTGCTATAAACACTCACCATTACACAACACTAACCTTTCATTGCTGATACGTATCTAAGCAAATACTTGTGCTAAAATCGTCCAGCAGAACACTTGACATTTTGGCAATTTATGCGAAACATACCATTAGTTTAAGAGCTGGTGGCTGTTCGTCGCTTGTGAAACGTTTTGCAGGGGGGCGGGGGGCGGCAGGGAGGCATAGACACCGTGGCTTCGTGTTCATTTCCTTCAATAATTGTGCAGCATTAGCAGCATGCGTGAGTTCTGACGGTGCATGTAATGCAGCATAATGCAATAAATGTGGACTTAATTGGGCCCCTGTGCCAGGACGCTGTATGCTGATGCGTCTGGGCATTAAAGGTTTATGCCCAGAGTTTGGGGGGCATGTGAGGGTTTATGGAACCTCGGTGAAGTGAGCGTTACCATTATAGTAATGTGCAACCTCAGCTCGGGATTCCCAGGGGTGGGGGGCCTAGCAGAGACCCCCATTTCCCCGGGCGCCTCTGCAAACGCCAGAGGTGAACTCTTGTCTTTCCTTTCCTCTGCAATTACGCCGCTTGCAGCATTAGAGTGAAATCGCTGCGAAGGCCGGTAATGACCGCAGTGAGGCAGGCGCCAGGGGGTTAAAGGGAGAGGGAAGGGAGTGTGCAAGCACGAGGGGGGTTTAAAGCACAGGACTCTGCCTGCAAGTGTCTCCTTAGCAGCAGGAATTTAAATGACCCGTCTGTATTGCTTGACGTGACTCATTTTCTAGTGAGTCGTGCAATCGGTAAAAAAAATCTCATTAAACACCAGGACGGATTTTTGATTATTCTGGATTCCTATTTTTTTAATGGCCTCTTCATGCCATGCAGGAGAATGTCGTTGGCAGTGTGCCCTCTTCGGTGACTTATTCGTTGACTGTTATCAGATTGCCCTTGTTGTGGATCCGTAAAGACCATGACAGTGTCACTATCTGGCCCTCCTATCCTCGTAAGTGAGAGAGAAACGCTTTTCTGTGCAGGCCACAGCTTCTACATTTGTAGTAATTTGTCACGATCAAATGTAAAAATGTGTCTCTATTATTGATAAATGACCACGCAGAATTTTCTTTGGGGATCATTTTCAAGAGCGGTGAATTCTCATGCACTTCAAAGTGCAGACGTTTTGCATAGCGGAAAGATGAGCAAAAAAACAGCATGAAAATATATTTTTTACTGTGCAGCGATAAACGTGCCTTTTGAGACGTTCTAAACATTCAAAGTGCTCGTTTAAATTATTATAGTTAGTGGCCCAGAATACCGGCAAGACACTGTCAGTCATTCACCACACTTCTCGTCGCTGGTGGTGCACGTCTCGTTTCAGCTGCCCCAGTGTTGTCGCGCCCCCTTGCTCGTGTTCCCTCACATGGACCATTGCACTCTAAATGCATTTGACAGCTTTTTGAGAGTGAAAGAGAAAAAGTGATGGCTCGGGTCAGCGATAGTATAGTGGTGCAGGATTTACCGATCTACCGGAGCTCATGCAACTTATTTCGAGCACAGGGTGCCATCGTGCATCTCAATGGCTCCTGAATAAAATACAATTTGTAGCAGCGGATAAATTTGTCACTTACGGCCGGCCGTGGTAAACCTTACCCGCCGTGCGCACGGGTGGTTACGAGTAGGTCAATAAAGACGTTATTATTTTTAAAACACATCTGTGCACGCGGTAGCGTGCCTTACGGCCCACTCTGTGCGGCGACTTTTGCTTGGGGAGAGAGGGTTGTGCCATGCTGCGTGGCTCGTTTACATTCAGCCCGTTTGCCCTGCCAATTGCAAGCGCACATTATTTTTCACTGACCCAGCAGAGTGAGCGACCGAGACGGACAGATTTGTCGGTCAAAGACGATGGCCCGTTTTCTCTCCTGTGAGCCGCACTGTCAGCCGCGTGCTGCACATGGCAGATAAAGCCTCTTGTTTGTAGTTGTTGCACATTGAGACATCGCTGTGGAGCATATCTTGTGTGCAACTGGCGTCCCAGAGAAAATTTAAAGAACAAATTAACTTTTCATTGGTGATTTAAAGCTTTCGTGACTGCAGGGATTCATCTTCTTGGTTCTTTCAGTAAAGTAACGTAGAAGGGAAATAATAAAACAATAAAAATAAAACATAATAAAATACAATTCTCACGACGTTTCGGCCACAGGTCTGTCGGAAAGACAGCGTCTCACTCAGACACTGTCTTTCCGACAGACCTGTTCTTCACCTGAGGACGGCTGCTTGAAAGACAGCGTCTGAATGAGACGCTGTCTTTCTGACAGACCTGTTCTTCACCTGAGGACGGCTGCTTGTGTTGTGGCCGAAACGTCGTGAGAATTGTATTTTATTATGTTTTATTTTTTATTATTTTATTATTTCCCTTCTACGTGACTTTACCGAAATAACCAAGAAGAGGTTTTCATTGGTGTTTAAAAAAAAATCATTGTGGCCAAATGGACAGCTTTTCATGAGCAGTTGAAATTTTAAAGTCTGCTATTTATTGCTTATAAATGTTTTACAATTACAAAATACATTTACCAGCAACCAGCAGAACATGTATACATTTATTTTTGAAGTTCATCGAAAAGATGTTGACGTTTGCTTCAGAAATAGTTATTTTTGAGGTCAGAGCTTCTTGGTCTCGTGCATGCAGGGTTAAATCTTAATTGCTTCGACCTTACAGCCAATAATAGTGTGACATCATTACTCGGGGTGTAATGATTCACCCCTTCCCCCCTCCCCTCCTTCCAGGTGGTGAGTGATTTGATGAATTTCCGCAAATCAAGATCAGAATTCGATTTGTGAATATATAATCTTTTTCACACTGGTGAATTCAGCGGCCACTAATTGGCTACATTGTTCACACAAACATGTCACAACTCATATTAATCGAAAAAAAAATATTCTCATGCCAGCAATGCAATGTGTGTCACGACAGCTTAAGCATTGATAAGAATTTATGAATACGTGCAATTTCACGCACCCACGATTAGAACGGTTGGTTACGTACAGTGCCAATGAAGTTCAAAATACATATAATTGTTAAACCCCTACACATCACACTTGCAAAATACCCCGTGCTTATTGTGCAAGTAAGACTTTGAGTGAGTGACTGGCAGAGGTGGTGAAGCATATAGAGTCACTCAGCCATCGGCAGAAGAACAAAAAAATTAGGTTTTGAACCTGGTCTTGGTGACAGCATAGATAGCAGAGGTGGGACAAAGTCATTGTTATGCAAGTCCAAGTCGAGTCTGAAGTCATCAAATTCATGACTCGAGTCTGACTCGAGTCCAAGTCACATGACTCGAGTCCACACCTCAGAGGTGGGACAAAGTCATTGTTATGCAAGTCCGAGTCGAGTCTGAAGTCATCAAATTCATGACTCGAGTCTGACTCGAGTCCAAGTCACATGACTCGAGTCCACACCTCTGATAGATAGTCTATGGGCCAGAACAGAAATCGTTACTAGCTATTATTAATTCGACCAATAAGGGTTATTTCCTTGGTAAGTCTGCTGATTTCAAATGGCTATCACATTATTCACTGTTATTGGCCACATAAAGAATTTGGAACCACTATCAGAATCTTTATTTATCCTGAAGGAATACAATGAATACTTTTTGGTTCTTTCGGTAAAGTCACATAGGTATAAAATAAAATAAATCACGACGTTTAGATTGCAATACAAGCAATCATCATCAGGTGGGAAAACCACGGCAAGAAATTTTTTTTTTGCTGAAGTGGGAGAGAGATGCCGTGGTAAGAGGTTATATAGGTAAGAAAGGGGGGAGGTGCAAGGGGGGAGAGAGAGGGGGGGTGTGGGGTAGGGTGAGGGGGACCGCTGCGTGGACACTAGGAGAGGGACGTGATGTACAATGAACTATGAATCTCTTTTTCACAGATGTCTAGTAGGGGTGGCTAAGCAAGTTGCTAAAGTTATACCCTTTCAGGTGGTACCGACAAGTAAAATATCTGGTCTTGGTTCATTGACTAGGATGGCTGGAGGGAGTTCCAGATGATGGGGCCAGTGTGATGTTATCAGAAACACCACCCACTCCCCTCTTCCCATGCCCCGCATAGCGAGATCTCCACTTTATGGATTGCCTCTCCTCCTCTGTCCTCCCTGCCACCCATGCTCTCTGCAGGTGGAGTTTGAGTGCATTAACAACAAGAAGAAACAAAAAAAGAAGAGCTACAAAAACTCAGGCATCATCATCTGCAAGTCGTGCAAGGTTGGTATGCTGTCGCATGGCAATGGCATGGAGGAGTACCGGGAGAATAGTGGTGCTGTGATCAACTCCGTGGGATGCGAATCTATGTTCAATGAAGACACAGCCCAGAACACAAAGCTTTGTTGATGTTCATCCTGATATCTCTGTAGTGATTTCACTGCAGAAACGACCTGCCCACAAATGATAGCTCAACGAAGTTGCTTGTCATGTGGAAATGTTTAGCAGCCAAATACTCTGAACACGTGTTTCTAAATGTGGAGGGAATAGCCGGAGGACCCGGAGAAAAATCCATGTGACCACGGGGAGAGAGACACCGCAAACTCCAAATATACAGGCGTCAGGGTCATGGTCAATCCCGCGACCTCCTGTATACCAGGCGAGGTAGTTAACATCTTGCCACTGTGGCCCATCAATAGGGACACCATCGTTATTAGCCATGATCTATCAACTTGTGGATGAATGCCACATCTCTCATTCCTGCATTGTAACAATCCATCTAGCCCCTGCACAAGCTAATTTAGTTACTCCATTTCCACGGTCGACATTTTTTACAGCATGTTCACTCCTTTGGCTGCTACTCCATTGTTAGTCTTGACCACCGGCCATAATCCCTTCTAGTGACGTGCCCTGCCCGAGCCCACTAACCTGTCTTTACAGTCAACATGATGTCTCTAACTTCACATATGTTCTTCCTGTTAACAAACATGTTTTTTGGGCTGTGTCTTCCTTTAACAAGCATTTATTCCTGAGGGCTGCCCTAGTAGAATGCAAGGAAGTTGGCAAGCATGTCTACAAGCCTAATCCTCACCCTACTGCAGTCATGTATTTCAGTGGAGGTTTTATTGACAAATTCGAATGCAAATCCGGAAACAATGAGTGCTCTGTGTCGCGCCGACCAATCTGGCATGGTCAATGTGGAAGGTATTTATTGAGCACTGCTTAAATTAAATAAGTACGTTAGTGAGTGAGTGAAGGTATAAATAACAGGAACGTTTCAAAAATATATAAAAGCCTTCAGTGATGTTTAATTGGACCAGTGGCCGCACCTGGAAACCTCGGAGGCTTAATTGCAATTGACTGCACTCGCACACTACAGGGTACGGAGCGCTTATTTATTCTTATCGGAGCCTTTAACCCCATGGTAAATGAACACGCGCCCTCTAAGCAAGGCCCCGCTAAAGCCGTGTTAAGCGCCCGTGCAAACTTACCGACACCTCATGGCAGGTTCCAAGTTTCTGCTTACCGTTTTGGTCATTGTAAAATGAGTCAGAATTGTGTGTTTTTTGTGTTCTAGATAGCGCTCAAATAGTTTTGGCAACACTTTTTGGCACCATCTCGCCACCACGGACGAGCACACAGCAACGCTGCTCGGCCTTGTAATACTTTCGGTTTTGATAGTGGAATGATGGGCAAACACGTTTCAGTCTATCTGTAGCATGATTGGTGGTAGTGTGATGATAGTTTGAAAAAAAAAATCTTAATTCTTAATCTGTCAGTAGGTATTTTCTAGTGATAACAAATCTAAATAACACACAATTAACTTCATTTTAAAAATTCCCATTCTTCAGGTCAGATCCCACCCTCTCAAAAATCAAATATGCATTTTCAGGAGAATGTATTTTGCTGATTTATAGTGTATTGCCCATCCTTGCACTATGTTTGTTTCTTGAGTAATTAACAGAATGACAGGACAGCTTTATTTAGAAAACATTTTTAGGAGTATGATGTAGGTAAGATGTAGTTATTTCAAAATACACAGAAGCAATTGACAAAAAATATATTTTGGCACCATTTGTACTCAGGAGTTGTACAAAATGCTAAATGATTTTGAATGGGATTATTATGGACAGAAGCCTACTCCACTGTACTCGTTACGAATTGCTGTTGAAATCTGCTTCTGAGTTGGTAATTCTACTTTCCCTGAAGAGACCACCGCAGCCCGCGCAGTTTGACATACACAGTCCGTGTGCATCGTATCCCTTTTCATTAATATGATCTTTATTGCATTCAATCTAAAAGTGCTGTCGGGAAGGAAAGCCTTAACAACATTTGAGTACAATATTGGAAATGCCAGTGGTGTGTGCTTGGAACACGGTGCAAGGTAGGCGACTGCAAAGGCAAAAAACATTTAGCGTCGTTTAAAGAAGCTAATCTATGTCTGCTGCGAGATTACTACGTTTTCCACTTGCTGATGCTGCTGTTTCCATTCTGTCATGCTGCCCTCGACGTAACACAGATATCGCGTGACTACACCTTCCTGGATTACATCTTTGGAGGGTGCCAACTTCATTTCACGGTACGATGACTGCTGCCCTGTTTCGACTCCTGTGCGTTCGCCCCGGCCCGCCCACCCAGCTCACTGCTTCCCCAAGCCCCTCTCAACACTTCCCTCCTGAAACCCTCAGCCCGCATTTCTGCGACGAATTGTATATTTCGGTGAAAGTTATGTTGCTGGTACTCGCACTGAGCCGAACTGAATGGTTCCCATATTTGTAGGAAAGAGCCATCTGTCACTCTCTTCACATTACTCCGTCTCTCTCTGGGGGAGTGGATGGGATTAAGGTGAGTGCAGACAGAACCACGAGGTGTAAATTATCGCCTTGGCCGTGCCTTTGTGATAAGCGTGCTGCGCGTTCCCCGCACCTCGCGTTCGCTCACACGTGCCGCCTACCCTCCCAAATCCTGTTCCGTCGGTTGCGTTGTTTTCAACAGAAGGTTGCAATTTTTTGGAAGTACGGAGAATGCTTATAGTGAAAATATTAAGGTCTGCATATATGTCATCATCATCATCAGCCACGTTAACTCCTAAACCGTCGGAATCTCTCATGGTCCTGTGGTGGAATGATCCACGCAACACATGTGCACGAGCTGATCTCATCGCTCCATTGCTGCACCACACGTCCTCTTGCAAATACGTTTACACAAAACATGTATAAACCTCGGCCAATTCTGACAGCTGAAAGGCAATTTTGGTTGAGCGAGTGCAGGGGTGACACGGAATAAGAGCGTTGGCTTGATGTTCTAGGCGCGATGGCGGAGCGATCCATTTCTGAGCAGAATCTCCAGGGCACTGAGGAGGAGGTGGGGAAGAAATGAAAAGACACTGGAGTAAAACAGAACATGATTCAGCATGCGACAGGAATGGGATGTCTGCCACAAATTCACAACTCACAGCTGGGGGGAGGCCATGGCTGGAGCCATCTATCGGATTATTCGCCCAGCAGGAAAACTGCACGCTGAGCAAAAACACTGATTCGGAAATATTTGTTTCCCATGGTCAGTGAGAAAGGCGCAGGTGGAGACGGGAGGAGATGCATTGTGTCAAACGCCATGGTTTCATCTGAAAGGCACTGAAAAAATAATAATCGCATAATAGCCACATCGCCCTTGCATAGATCTAGCGTCTTAATTTATGACTGCCTCATCCCGTTCACAAAGTGTGGGGGCGCTCCTCGCTGGGTGTTAAATTACAAAGCACTGCACTCCATTACTTACGCATGATGAAGAGCCATCGTTGGGTTGGACTGCGGTGTCAAGAAGGCATTCTCATGACCCTTTCACACCAAACTGCTTCGGCGGTCCAGCCCGGCTCACTGTTAGAGGCTGTGGTGTGGGGGTTGGTGTTAACCCCGTGCTTGCGATCGGTAAAAATTAGTAAACGGGGAGAACCCTGTCGTGTCCTTGCAAGTAGGCTCCTTGGGGATAAAGGTGGGAGCTGTTGAGGCTGTGGGGTTCGCATGGGTCAGACACTTTGATCGCGAGGCTGAGTGAGGTATGCGGGAGATGCGCGCACACTCTCGCAATCTCATGCACGGAGGTCTCCTCGAGTTACTCGCTCCTATTAATATCCCCCTTGTACCAACGCGAGCCGCACCATTGAGAAGATGTCGCTCCGCTGCAGTCCACTCTGTTTTACCCTGGTGCTCACCCCAGATCCATCCTGAATAATTTACAGACAAATAGACAGTGTACTTATTTGTAAAAGCGCAGAGCATGCAGAGCACAACAGCGTGTGCGTGTGTGTGTAGTTAGCACACTGCGTTACGAACCCAGCGACCCGAGTTCAATTTCCGCTCACAGCCCAACTTCGTTATGAATATCAGAACTGGTCCTGGGCCTCCCTAAGGTCAACTCAGCCTAAAAACAGAGCCTTATGCGATGTGTACACATCACCACTGGAGAGACAAAGGCGGCTGGGGGTAGTGCTGGCCACCCACCCCCGAGTGTCCTGTGCCAGCCTTCATATTGCTCACTAACAGCACTTGTCCCAATAGTCTGTTAAAGGCTATACGGATGATCTTTCTCTTTTGTATATGAGTTAGGGGGAGCCATAGTGTAGTTCTTAGCGCATTGCATTGGAACCACTGGCTACAGTTTGATTCTTGCTAACATAAGTGCCGAGCAACAATTACATCGGTCCCTAGGCCTACGTCGGTTGACGTGGCATAATATAAGTACCTGCTACGATATATGAGCATTAGCAATGGAGACGAGCAAATGCCGAAATAGGAGAATAAGCCAAAATGCCCTCTAGTTAGAGGGGCTTCTCTAGAGCTCCCTATAGTAGAGGCACTTCTGCCTGCAGTGACGTGAGCAAGCAATTTCAGGGCTGCGCCTTCACCTATCGTGAGATGCAGTGTTCTGCACGTACGTGTAGGCACGTCAATATTGTCTGAGTAAATAGTTTCATGTTAGCCACCATGCATTTCAGCATGGGCATTTACTTCCCCGTATTAAGATTTTATACATCGTTTTAGGTCGGCGTCACTCACCGCAGCACGCAAGCGGCTGTGTGTCTCCGAGGCCACGAGTTGCGGCCCGATTTAGCCTGAGGTCAGAACATTCCTAGCAGTGCCTCTTAAATTCGTTTTGCGGAATTGTCCCAATGCATTGCGTTCAGCACAATATAAACAATATAAACGTTCTTCTCTGCTGCCCCCATAGTTACCTTCCCTCAGAAATCTGTGCTGTGAACTCCCTGCCCTTGCTCAAAGCCCTGTGTTCCCACATCTGTGGTTCCAGCCTTTACCAATTTGTTACCGAAAAGCATGGTGAAGTATGGTAAATTATCCTCATGACCCAGACAGGCAAGTAGAGGCCTTCATTTAGCAGTTGACTAGAATATGGGTTTTACAATATTGTAAGTGGGTTGGAGGCATTTAAAGAAAATGTTACGTTGCCTTGTGTATGCCGAGGTGACCTGTATAAGCCTGCACGGCAAATCTGTCAGCACCTGCGTCCCCCAAATCACGAAGCTCTGCCTGTCTCCGTGGAGGGAAAACATGCCCGAACGTGTTAACTGTTTAAATAATAACTAATAATAGCAGAGGAGAAGATATGTTAGTCTGATGAAAAGTGTACAATTATAGCGGCACATAAAAATGAAATACTGGTAATTCGATTTAGCAGTTAGCGTTCCTAATTTTTTTGTGCGGCATGGGTGTGGATCGGGAATGTGTGTGTGTTTATGTTCGTTGCGAGTGTGTGATGTGGTCTGTATGTATATTGAACTTTTTTCGCACCGTACGTAGTCAACCGTGCTAATCGGAGGTCCGCGTGTACGCTAATGTGCGTGCTTATGAGCATAGGCTCTGGCCCGTGTGCAGATTTTCATAGTGTTCTCAAACAAGATTCCATTCTCATGTCCGAGTCAAAGTCACCCAATGGCCAGAGGCTGCTCAGCCTGTGTGAATATCTGATGCATATCAGCATACCACCACATGCCCAAGTGGCTTCCGTTTGGCCGAATATATGGAGATAAATTAGTGCGTCACAGGCTGAAGAGGAGATGGGCTCGTGCAAGAGGAACTGGATATGTGTAGACTTGCTAATGACTGGAACCAGCGGAGTGAAGATCAGCCTTTGTGGAGGAGGCTCGTGAAGGATGCCCTCCAGTAACAATGGCGGAGGAGTGACACAATGGGTGGAGCACCGGGCGGCTAAAATGCAGCGAGTTGGCACGGGGGAGTGCAGGTGGTGCATCCACAAGTCATCTGAGTTGGTCAATCCATGGCACCTAGATCTGCCTCTTGACCGCCTACTAAGCCAGACTTTGACACTTTATGTGGCCTCAAAATGCACCTAGCCTGGCACAAGAACTTCGGTGGTATCACCGCCACTTAGTGGTGAATGTCGGCTGTTGTGCTGGACATGATTTCCTAAAAACAGTACGTGCCTTCTATCATGTTGCCTCACAGACTGTTACCCACATCTCCAGCCATAAGCGCCACTCTATCCAAATCCCTTCAGCAAAACCCTTGATCCAACAGCAGACTTTAGTGAAGAGCATCTCACAATACCTGTCCTCCATTCCTTAACTGCCCCAAAAATGCTGGTGCCGGAACGAATGTAGTTTTTGTCTTTTTTGTGCACATGTTTTTCATTCTGGCTGTGCTGCGTCACAATGCGAGTTGCCTAGCGAGGAGTTGTCGCGTGTGCGTGCTTGCAGGTGGGCATAGACTTCACGGCGTCCAACGGAAACCCACGGGACGCATCCTCGCTGCACTACATCAGCCCCACGGGCATGAACGATTACCTGGCTGCCATCTGGGCCGTGGGCCAGATCATCCAGGACTACGACACGTAAGTGCAACGTGCGCAACAATCGCCCAGCTCAATCCAAGCAGAAAACGGATTTGTGAACGTGATTTTACTTGAGAAGCTGTTAAGTTGACTCCAGAGATTGCACAACCCTTGTGATAGAGGGTCACAGTGTTTTCTTGTTTTAGTTTCTAAATGAACTTTCATTTACCCTATTGCGCCCCTAATTCAGCAAATAAGTAGCTTAATTAGACCTGCTTTGCTTGTTTCGAGATGTGTATCAGTTGGAGATTTCATATTTTCTATAAATCCCGCAAGTTTGCACCCCTCGAGCTCTGGCGTTTCACACCCCAGATTTACACTTGGAAGCAGTTTGGAAGCAGAATAAAAAAATAAAAAACAGATCAGTGATCGAGAATGTCTTTCATTTCATGACAGATAACAAGTACTTGCTGGCACAAGTGTTCATCTTGGTCTGGAGGCTTGTGATGTCCTCCCAGCGTAGGCACCGCTTGCTGTCAGATTTCTCAGTTTTAAAGGCAAAATTTTGGATAGATTCCCAGCATGGCTGTTTTGATCATTTTGACGCCATGCGGTGATTTAAGGCTCGGCTTCTGCGGTAAGTAGTGCAAGGGGAATTGTTCGGCCACCCTTTCACTGGCATAGAAACGTGCTTAATGCCGCTGTCAATCTTCGGTGTGGAAATGCCTCGACTGGCTTGGCAGATCCCATCACGCCCACGGGAAGCACATTAAGGGCCCTTAACCCCATTACCTGTGGTATTATTTTATTTGCTTAACTGCTACCTCGACTGCGCTATGAATTTTGATGATTCCAGTAATTTTTATTTGCAACCGGCGCCTTGCGAGGTATATTTATTTTTGGGAGAAACCCAAGCTCCGTGTTTCATCGTGTTGTATGTTTAGGGTTTGTCAAGAATGTTGGCCAGTGAGACATTGGTTGGGGAATAAGCTCAGAGACGATGATGGTCAACATCAATCTTCGGTCTATATAATGGACTCTCCAGATGTGATTTCTTCCAGTCTTGAACAGGTGCTTTGTTCAGTGTTTAAATGGTTAGACAATAGGTGCTTGGGGTGTTCGTCATATTGGAGAAATATATTTTTTTAATCAGCAACCTTCCGTGGTTTTTGGAACACTGGCAGTTCAGCTTCTGCTCATTTCATTTGTTTCTTTAGAGAGAAAAGAACATTGTGAAGAGGAATAGAAAAAATGTACTTAACATATCATGCTTTTGTAGTTTATTAAAACTGTCATTGAGAAACATATGGATTCCTTGTGAAAATTGCAGCCTGGGCGGGAGACACAGAACATGGAGCCACTTTGTCATAATTTAATTTCATTATTTCCACGCTCTGGGAATTGTAGGTCGAGGGGTCACCCCTGTCCGATGAGAGATTTGGAGGAGGGCAATGCACCATTACATGGTCGCTTCGTGTCACGTTTTATTTCCAGTCCCGCGTTCATAAAGCCATCATTAACAAATTACATTTTAATTTTGCGGAAAGTTGGGTAAAAATACAGCAGCTCAATGAACAGAATAACACATTCTTGATTTGAAGCTTTCGTGACTGCAGGAATCCATCCTCTCTGGTTTTTTCGGTAAAGTCACGTAGATAGAGAAAAAATAATAAAAGAAACACGACGTTTCAGTCGCAACACAAGCGTTTGTCACCTGACGACGGACGCTTGTGTTGCGACCGAAAATTAGTGTTTATTTTATTTTATTTTTCTATCTACGTGACTTTACCGAAAGAACCAGAGAGTATAGAATAACACATGCCACAGTTTTGAATGGTAACATTGCAATTATTTTAAATCCAGTGTGTGCCGCATACAGCTGCAGTGTTGTGATATTCATTCGGCAAAGGCTGTGCGATTCATTTCAGTGAAGTCTCCTACACAAATGAAATTTGCAGAAGATAAATAGGGGTTTATTTAATGTGCTTTTTTTCCTACATTAACAGCCTCCGAGTGCGATCAGCGTGCCGGTTCATCTTCATTGTTCCACAGAGGCAATTGAAAACCGAAAACCTGTTCGACTTTGTCACGCGGGGCCGGCTCGCAAATGCTCGTTCGCTTTCGTCCCTTGACTGTGCAATTTGATGCGCCTGGCTGTGAATACAAATCGCTAAAACGTTAGCTCCTTTCATAATCACCCAGTGCATTATTAAAGTGATTAAAATGTTGGCAATAATATATTCCTTTGCAGGCCATGTAAATGCCATACACTCTCACTCACGGAAATGTATTAAATATTAACCCATTGGCAGCAGGTGATGCATTGCTTCTTTTGACATCCCTATAGCGGAATTTGTTTTATCCACCCATGTGTTATGGCTGAAAATCAGCGTGGTACCGCTATAGCTTGAGTGGAAGAATTGTGAGTTCAAATCCTGGTCAGGGGATGACCTAGTCAGCATCATTTCTCCAGCATTGGTAAAACGAGCAGCACTGCCTTGGGGAAAGTCAACAGCAGTCGTCCTGTGGTGTGAATAGCCCTGGTCATGGAGATGTGGAATTTCCTACACTTGCTCAGGCCCTTAAGTGGAGTACCAATGCTCCTTGGAGCAGAGAGACAATATCCCTTTGACCTTTTGACGCCTGCAGTCAGGGGTCAGAGCTCGTCGCGTTAAACAACCGGCGTGTTTTCGCAGCGGCGGCGGTGGTGGTGGTGGCGATAGGATCCCAACTGACCCCACCGTTCGCCGACCATGCAGCCCCGTGGCGTGGAAGCGGCTAACGAGCAGCTGTCCTGGCAGGGGTAGGGTCAGGCATTCAGGTGGGCAGTGGGGAGGAGAGATCGGAGTGGTCGCAAGCTTGCTATAGGCAGGCGATGAAAAGACGCTGCCCTGCATGAGGCGACACGTCGTGCGCTTCCATGCACAAAGCGGGGGCGATCGTTACTTGTAATTTTCCGTCGGCAAGAATCCACACAAAAAAATATACACGAACCGAAATGATAGCTTTTTTCCTAAGAGCTGGTTGGCGGTCCTCGGAGAGTGATGTGAAAATCAATACCCTACGAATGTTACCGACATTTACTGCTAAAATGAGTCTCCCGCAAAGTGGGGTGCTTACCTAGGTGAATAGAAACATGACTAATAATACAGAAACTATCACCAACTTATTCCCTCCTAAGGCGTGGGTGCACGGAATTGCTCACGCAATCTGCAACAACTTTTCAGGTGGATGGGGATAGGAGAGAAAAAGCTAGGAGGCAATAATATAACATTTCTCGTAAATTCTTAGTTTAACAACATCCTCAATGCCAGCGAAAGATAAATTGATGCGGACATACCTTCTATGGTAGGGGGGTATTGAGAGGGAGAGGCTCTGACGTCCGACTGCACGAGAGGAAGGAACTGTTTGCACTTAGGCGTGCGTTCACGCAAACTCAGAGCACACGCGAACAGACGACGACAAAACAATATGCGTGCCGATTTTCTCCTCCGCCAAGCAACAACGTTCCATGGTTGAGCCCTCATTAGCACGGGCTCGCTGGTTCATCCCGCACGCACATCGCAAGCTCCCACAGGGACGTTCGGCTGACGGTATCGCTCACGCCGCGGCGTTTTAGCCGCGTTTTTGAAAAGGCAGCATGGACGGGAGGGCAGCGGCAATGTAACGATCGATCGGCTATGTAGCGAGCCGATACCTACATTAAGCTTTGTTAATAATTCATCCGTTTAAATACGTGCTGAGCGATTTCCCCCTTTAATGTGACAGCGATGCCGAGCATGGGGAGGAAGTGGCGCTGAAGCCCTGACGCCTTTTCAGCTGTGCCTTTCACCCTAATCCGTGCCCTTCCACGGACTCACTCATACAATACGGCCCCTGTGCAGTGGGCGTTCTGCCCTCACGGCCAGTACCGGGCAGCCCCGTGGCCCATCTGTCTTTTACGCTCCGCTCTGGATAAACTCGTGCCACTGCCCCTGCTACGTTCAGTGGTGAATTATATGGAGTGCCATGGCGGCAAATGCTGCACGTGTGACAATGAGATCAGCCAGGAATGGCTCTGCGCACACTCCGCTTGAAACTGTTCGTGACACAAAGGGAATTACATCATTGGTTTAGTCATGCCTCCTACTTGCCAGGTACGAGGCTCCCTAAGGTCGTATTAGTCGGCCGTCTGCCGGAGAAGTGTATACAGAGCCGAGCTTGTGCTTGCATTGGAAGGTCATGCTGAAAGAATTAATAATACAAAAGTACATGCCCTGCAATTTTTAAATAGACTTACAGATAAAATAGATCTAGATACTTTACTACAAATGTGAGATCAAGCAGAAGTATAGCTATGCTACACTCTGGTGGCATCTACAGCTTTAGCCATGATGACCTCTTCACCTTAAAGACAATGTATGTGTTGGGTGCATTGTCCTGTGTAGAGTTGTATGTGCTGTCACCCCATGACAGTCGGCTAGCTGCTGTGGCCCAAATGAACATCTCTAAGTGTTCCCTGCACAAAATGTGCTATGTTCCATGTGGCGGTAACAATTTTAAAGTCAAGTCTGTAGTGCTGCTGAGCCTCCACAATTATCCCACTGATTCAGAAATTGCTTGTGTGGGGTGTGGCCTTTTTCTGGGAGAAAATGGCAATGTTTCCATCATTCTCTTCCGAGGAAATCGTATCTCGAAGCTGCAGTTTTCTTTTGGAAAAACGGTTTTGAAGACAGGCCCTGATTACGATTTTGCATCTGACTGCTAAAGCAGTGGCTAAGTCTTCTAGTTTTCTCCTTGCACCTTTACAGAAGGCACAGTGGCCTCTCTGAAATAGTCCACTGTTCTTCTGTATTAGAAATAAGCTCATAGGCCGGTGTTTTTATTCGCGTCTTACTGGTTGCGTTTTACAGCATAACCACAAAAAACAATGCAGTAGTCACTCTCTCTCTCTCTCTCTCTGGGCATAAAAGAGTTTACTTGACATTAAACGGCCTCAGCCTTAAAGCTGTGTTATTCTCTCTGTCTCGCAGGGACAAGCTTTTCCCAGCATTGGGTTTTGGTGCTCAGCTTCCTCCCGACTGGAAGGTATGCTTTTTCTTCACGCTGAGCATGCAATGGTGTTTCCGACTTGGGGTTCATTCAGGCACACTTATCGACACCAATTGTGCCACCTCCCACCACGATAATCAAACGCGCAACCAATGCCAAGCAAAACCGGGAGTGCCCAACCGCACCACTGAGGGAGCACACACTGCCGGCACCAGTGATGGCCATTGAACTTGGGCTCGGCTGCTTGTCTGGTGCTCCGTTGTTGACAATGAGATGCCTTCATTACCAGAGAGTCATTGATTATTTATTGTCGTATTCACGAGTGTACGCAGGGAGGGGCAACCGCTCCACGTGTCTGCCGCAAGCTACGCTAAAAATACGGAAAGAGTTTTGGTATTGTCACGGTACTGTCCTGCATTCCCGTGCCAGTCTAATCAAGCGCGTGCCACTTTGGCACAAGCGTTGTTGTGCTGCCAGTGCTGCCACCTGTCCTGGTTTTCCAAGGATCATCCTCCTTTTGCGGTAGTTGTGCTGGGAAATGCATACGCCTTCCTGTGACGTTAAAAGCCCTGTTGTTTTGGCAGTTACTACTGGATATTGCTACTGGACATCTGTGAAAAAGAGTTTAATAGCTCATTGTATTCCTCCTGTCTAAATAAAGATTCTAATTCTGCATGGTTTGCCTCAAATACATGTGGTTAATACAGACTTAATTCCTTGCAAAAGGTATCTATTTGAACATCTTAACCCATATTTTATTGCCAGAAAAGGTAAAACCTATTCTTATTTTTCATACTTACATACTGGCAAAAAGGTCTCATAGATATTATAATTCTGAGTTGCATAGTAATGCACCACTCAAGATGTTAGCATTTATATGTAGTAATTGAAAGATATACAAAAAATTGTAGCTCAAAGGTAACAGTCATATGTGTAGCACAGTGAGATCTTCTTTGTTACAAAGTGGGGACTTTGTCAGTGGCCTTGGTGACTCAGATGACCCATGAGCTACATGGCCCGGGTGGGCAGGTCCACGTGTCGTGTGTCGCCGGACCCTCGCGTTTTTTGCCTTTGACAATTTAACGCCGGCGTCCGAGCCACCGGGGATAAGCACCGCCTGGAACGCTCGCGAGCGGCGAGGGGGTAGCGCCCGCGAGGACGTGCAATGTCAAGTCTGCGGTACGGCCACCGTAGACCCTTCCGCTAAAAATACGCTCCGTGACTGATGAGGGAGTAAGATAATTAATGCGAGCGGGTGGCCCTTGTCCACCGAGCGAGCTGAGCGCTTGTCGGCCAGAACAGGCGACTTGGCAGCATTGCCCACGGTGTTCTTGTTTAACTTGTCACGGTGTAATCTTGGTCATTTCCGTCATGGGAGGAGAGGGGGGGGAAGTGCCTATACACCACTGTGTTTACATCTGAGAGAAACAAAAAAGCATATTACAAATTAACAAAATCGACCAACTTGTAAAAGGGGTCATCCACCTATTAAAGATGTGATATCCACCGGAAGAGCCAGGTTATATCAACTATTTTTTATTTTACCAGGTAAGACTCACTGAGCTATATAGCTCTATCCAGAAGCCACCTGTATAGAATGGCAAGTCCTGTAAGGGTTACATGTAAAAGTGGCTAGGTAATACTTACACAATTGTGGTAACATTTACAAGGAGAGTAAATTTCTTTTTTAAATGGCACATTTTGTAGAGGTGTAACATAACAGTAGCTAAGTTAAACAAGGGACTACTGGGGTTAACTTGGCCCCTGCTTTTCCATTTCAATGGGAACTAGCAGCAGCATCATTAGAATGGAGAGGCCAAGATTGCCATGTTTGTATCCTGTTGAAACACTTTCTGTTACATCGCCCTCCCTTGATCTTTTCTCTCCGTTGCTGAATGAGTTCTCGGCATTAGTTGCAGACCCTTGGACATCTGTCGAAACACCACGCAGCACAACAAACACACACCAGTGAGCTGTTTTTGTCTGTAATATCTAATTTTTATCTGATTTCACTTTTTTTTTCCTTTACAGTTTGCTAATATATTTTACTCTCTATAAATACATTACATCCTATGCCAGGTGGAGCATATCTGCTTTTAAGTTAAAATCTAATGTAAATTTCTTAAAAGTAGGACTATTTTGGTTTTGGTCGCCAATTGTAGCTGGAATCTGGTCATTATTGTGAGATAATCTAGTTGAAAATGTAGCTCAATAAACCATCATTTTGTGCCAAATTTCCTCTGCAGGGTAAATTCTCTTTGCAGAGCATTCATTATCATAGGTTGTCAACATTCACCAGTTGACTTCATTCAACAATTGTATTAACATTTTAAAAAAATCAATTTGAACATTGATTTAATTTGTACAGTAATGTCATTGGAATTGAGAGGCCGTCTTATTCAGTTAACTTGTTTTTTTACACCAAATGTAACGGAATTGTTTTCCCTTCCACAAGACAGGTACACACCCTCTGTGCCTGGTGGCGAGACGTTAACTACCTAGCCTGCCGGTTTTTCCCTCCACGTTTATAAACACGCGTTTAGAGTATTTGGCTGTAATAAATTTCCACGTGATAAGCCACTTCGTTGAGCTATCATTTGTGGCCAGGTCGCTTCTGAAAAAGAGCTTTATGGCTTCGTGGGCCTTACCTGGTAAATTACAAATTGTTTATAGTTTAACTTAACAATTAACTTACATTTTTTTCTATGTTAGATCACATTCATACTTTACATCTGCATCCCAAAAAAAAAAATACCCCATCAGCAGCAGAACCACCCAGCAAGTATCATCTCATCCCTTAGGTGTAAACGGTTCCATAAATTATTTAACATTCACAAACGACGTCGAGAGTAAAAATGGTTAAATTATTTTACGCTTTGTTTAAATGTCACGCGATGACTTAAGAACATGTTTATCTTGCTGGGGGGGATGTGACCGTGTCCCCGTTGGCCACTCTGTATTGTTTTTGAAAAATCATAAAAGGTTCGGAGTGACTTGGTCCTTTTATTTTTCTTACAAAAGATTGTTTCTGAAATATGCTAAACAAACAAGAGCAATTAATTATGCATATATATTACTCACGTGTCCTCAGGTGGCACCTATTTGCAGAATTCACCTAGAAGTGATCTGTTAGACCCCCTTTTCCACTGACATATCCAAGCTGAGCCAGCGTAGGGCCTTCAATGACAATTTGCCGAGCTGGAACCAAACCACGCAAAGATGGGTGACATCATGTCCCTGCAGCTCGTACGTTTTTTTTTGCAAAGTGAGCATGAGTGGATCGCCGAACGTGTCTCCAGGGGTTGTCAATTGTTATCTTCACAAAGGATTTTGACCTTGCTCTGCGTGTATCCATCTTCTCGACTCCTCCCCTGCCAGAAGCAATGTGTGTTATGCGATTAAAAACACACGCATTGTCGTCCCATCGCCATGTCTGGAGTGCACACTGTGCCCCGAAACGCGGACCTGGAGGTTGTCTCGTTCCCGCGCAATTATCACGTTGACAGACACCGCCACCGCCACATCGCCCATCCACTTATCTTCCTCAAGTCTCACGTGTGTTGATGTAACATAATCCTCAATGTTTACTCCTAATTAAAACAATTAGCATTTCAATACACACATCCGTATCACACTCAAACTTAATAATTCACGAGCGTGTTCCTAATGAATGGAAATAATTCCAGGGCTTTCGCCAGCAGCGAAATACACTGACGGATGAATTCACCTGGCGCAGGAAGGCAATAGTAGGGACGGCTTAGCATCTTAATCTTGCCCGTCATGCCACTGGAGCCATTCTAGCTGCCACGGGGATTTAGACTTGACACTTTAGACGCTTGATAAATCCAAATTGTGTTGTCCTTATTCGCGGTGCCACCTGCGTGTCCGTCCTCTGCAGAGAAGCCCTGAGCTGTTTATCCATCAATTGTTAAATATAATTTCATTTGGGGGTGCTGTCAGTCAAAAGGGATTGCATATGTTTGGTGCATTATTTTGTTATACATTTTTTTAAATCCATAATTACACGTGTCATATGGCTTTTTTTCCTCCCCCCCCCCCTCACCCACCAAGGTGCACCATGACTTTGCGCTGAATTTTAACCCATCCAACCCTTTCTGCACAGGTAACGTTGCACAATCAATATTGGTGCAGTATTTCCTCCACCAAGCTATGTAGCATAATACTTATTACCTGAACCACCAAACGTGCACCTGCGATTAGAACGGTTGGCTATGTACGGCGCGAAAGAAGTTCAAAATATATACGTGCTCAAATGAAACCGTCACGTCCTCCCCTGCAACAGCAGTAGCAGTGTCCACTTTCCGTCATTTAGCGGACAAAGTGAGCACTAATTCTGAACACTTGTGCCTGCGATACCATTGTTGTTGTACGATGTTCAATTATGTAAGGGCTGAACACGTGCACGCATCTCTCGCACGCTGTGTCCCGTCGAGACGCGCACATAGCAGCGGGGGATGTTCACGCCGAGCGTTCCGCTTGGTCACTGTTTTTAATCATCGTGCAGGCCGTTTTCGCGTGTGAAATATCGCAGAGAGAAATTTAGAAATGTTCGCACAATATGGGAGTGGCCGTTTTCAGTGCCTCCGTTAACTTAATTTTACGTATCTGCATGAGCGAATCAAATTTGCGGCAATTTTTTCTGCTGAAGAGGCAAAATAACCAGAGTAGCCTGTTGCCGGCTTTACAGACCTGTGTAAAATTAAGTGTCCTCTGAAACTTGATGTGCGGTTGACCTTACATTTTCTAGCTGAATCCAGCTGACAATCTGCTTACCTCCCAGTACATTTAAAAAATGATTTGACATGCAATTGGAATGTAACATGTATTGCAGCAGGCTATCCAGAGTGCTGAAAATGGCCCATTGCCCAAAACGTGGGTCAATAACATATATTTTCTGCTTTAAGTCAGTGTTTATGAACGCAACAGTTGCGATGTGTTTTGGATCTGGTATATTCACATACATTTTGGTAATTACACAGATGCAGAGGAAGAGAGGAACATATGGATCTGAGAAACTATAAACATTACATTAACTTAATCTTGACTTGAAGCTTTTGCGACTGCAGGAATTCATATTCTTTGGGTCTTTCGGTAAAGTCACGTAAATAGGTTGCAAGAAAATAACAAAAAACTACAGGTAGTTTTTTTTATTATTTGCATTAACTTGTTAGGAAAGTGAGCAGATGATGGCCGATGGATGAGAAGGGTGACAGAATGGCAGTAAAAGGAGTGAACACACCCAAGAGAGGCATCCACCATGCATATGGAGCAATAAGATCAGCACCTACGCAGCAACTAGATGGATTGTGGCATCACAGGATGGCCACAGCATCGGGACATCTTTGTACAGCAAGCGATAGATTATCACGGCTAATGATGATGATGCATGTGTGCCTGCTTTTAATTATACACAGCTCATTTCCAACACGGCATTGACCGGTTTGTAACTCCTACCTGCGTAATTGTGTTTGCTCCGCGGCTCATGCGACCGTTGCGTGCCGCGTCGCCCCCCACCCCCCGTACACCACCAGGCATCGAGGGAATCGTTGCCGCGTACCACTTCTGCCTGCAGAACATCCGCCTATATGGCCCTACAAACTTCTCTCCCATCATCAACCACGTGGCCAGCTTTGCGCACACGGCCAGCGGGAGTGCCTCCGCCTCGGTATGCTACATACACCATATCCCATATTATTTTCATCGTACGAATAAACGTAGGTCATCGGGGATCTTGTGTGTGTGCAGCGAGGGGTGGGGGAGCTGTTGAATCTCAATGGGTTTCTCGTGCGTATTTTATGCCCACGGTACTAGTATTAGTACGAGTACTAATACGGGTGTCGAGGTGGCGAGATGTTAACTACCTTGCATGGTATACAAGAGGTCGTGGGTTCGATTGCGACCCTTATGCCTGTATATTTGGAGTTTGCATGTCTCTCACCCCATGGTCATATGGGGCTTTCTCCAGGTCTTCAGGTTTTTCCCTCCACATTTCAGAAACATGCGTTTAGATTATTTGGCTGCTATAAATATCTACATGATAAGACACTTCTTTAAGCTATAATTTTATGGCCAGGTCGCTTCTGAAAAAGAGATATATAGTTCAGTGGGCCTTACCTGGTAAAATAAAAGTTTAGTTTATTAGCGATACCTGCATGTATTTTGATAGTGTTAAAGAATATTATTTTTCAATCATTCAAGTTGACATCCAGATTTGTCCCTCATACCAGCCCAAGGAGCCCATTATAACAGCATCTTTTTCACACAATTTAGATTTACTTTTAGTTTTTACCTCTGAAAAATATGGGAGCTGTAAGTACCGCATGAGCTAGTAGTTATGACGACAACAAAAAAACACCTTAAGCCTTGCCCACCCCTCGCTGCACACAACTACGTCAACAGAACGTGTACATCATCAGTTTTTCTTCCGATTCCAGTCCGATGATGTAAGTGTACATCGAATCTAAACCAGAAAAAAAACTAAAAGAAAATAACTTTATCGGTACTGAGGCTCCCTCAAGGCCATGTCAGAGGATATGTGGCACGGCTCGGTGCTAGCTATCATATAGTGCGGTCGTGTCGCTACAGGTCTCTGCGGTAAGTACAATAAAACCTTGGATTGCGAGCATAATTCGTTCCGGAAACGTGCTTGTAATTCAAAGCACTCGTATATCAGTTGTGATCACGTGACGCTCGACAGACAAAGCGTATACACGTACTAGTATTGCAAGACCTCGCTCGTTTATCAAATTAATATTTTAATATTAATATTTATTTAAAATATTTGATTGTCTAGCAAACACTCGCAGACCAAGTTACTCGCAATCCAAGGTTTTACTGTACAGTTATTTAAAAACAACGGCGCTACGCCTCTCTAAATAAATGTAATGCTGAGCCGCTTGCGTGTTCCGAGATTCAGAGGGGAACGGGACCCCCATCCTGCAACTTGCAGACGTCTCTGGACGGGAAAGGGTTAAGTGTGAGCTCTGGTGTACGGCTAAGAAATGTCAAATACAGCCTTGTACGGTGTTTGTTGAGCTTGGATCCCTGCAGTCACGAAAACTTCAAATCTAGATTTGTTGCAACAATGAAATTGTGCAAATATGTTAATTAATTGAAATGTGAAAATTGACATATCACTGTTCCTATCACTGTTCCTGTGTTGCAGTTGAGGCCGGATCCCCATTGTCATTTGGAAAATTACAAATCCTGCACATCAAATCTTTCTTTTGGGATTACATACGTTTGACAGCCAGCTCCCATTCAGACTAATTACATTGATTGGTTATCATTATCATGCATCATGAATGACGGTGCCATCTCAAAAAATGGGAATTCATTTCGATCTAATTTCAAATCTCATTTTCAAAAATCACACTCTATAGTTATTGTCAATATTATATATTTCATATCTGTCATACCTTCAATTGGCAGTAATTAATAGATAGTCTTTTTAAAGTAATAGTCACTGGGTAGCCAAGTGATTGTCACACTCGGTATTGCTTTCAGACGGTTTGGTGAGATGAATCTCAATGAATCTCAAATAACACGAGGAGTTTTATTCATCTTTACCATCTGCCAATAAGCTGACTCGATAAAGAATTAAATGCATCATCGACAAGTGCAGACAGTTAAAACTTATTTAGGGGTCACCTTTACACGTGACTGGGCACACTAGCATTACAAACCGCGTTGGTGATCGGTCAAATATATGCGGTAATGGGATAAATATCGCAGGAGATTTATTGTCAGTTTAACACGTAGGCTTTCGCGACCAATATTCATAATCAACGTTTTTGGGTTTAGATCGCGTTATTTATAAATGTGTCATAACCCTCCACCACCCGACACGGCCAATCAGTAAAAAAGTGTCACGTTGACAAAAGACAATTAGTTCACTGCTTTAGCCCACCGGTGTGTTGAAGCGTGAAACCACAACAATTTACAATTTGAGTACTGCTCTATATAAGAACGGGAGACACAGCAGAGCCTCACCATTCTGGCGAATTGCCCGATGATGCTGGATGCAATTACCAGCGAAACGTCGTACTCAAATTGTAAATTGTTGTGGTTTCACGCTTCAACACACCGGTGGGCTAAAGCAGTGAACTAATTGTCTTTTGTCAACGTGACACTTTTTTACTGATTGGCCGTGACGGGTGGTGGAGGGTTACGACACATTTATAAATAACGCGATCTAAACCCAAAAACGTTCATTATGAGATTTATTGTGGCCGCGGATTAGATGAAATTAAGTTGCGGGCTGAATCCGGCCCATAGGTTCCCAACTTCTGATTTGAGCTCACATCCGATGGTGCGCGGTCCCGTGGCCAGGAGTACTACGTGCTGTTGATCATCACGGACGGCGTGATCAGCGACATGGAGGCAACGCGCGAAGCCATCGTGAAGGCATCGCGCCTCCCCATGTCCGTCATCATCGTGGGTGTCGGCAACGCCGACTTTGAGGCCATGGAGGTGCTCGACTCGGACGACCGCGTGCTCACGGCGCCTTCCGGCGAGGCGGCTGCCCGCGACATCGTGCAATTCGTGCCCTTTCGCCAGTTCCGCTACGTGAGTCGCGCGTGCGCACCGTGCGGCCGGTGATGACGAAGGTGGATTCTGCCTTACCCTCACTTTTCAGCTCTCCCTTGCGGAATGCAGACATTTGCCAGGTTTAAGCGATGATATTAAATTAAGTGTTTATTGTTTAAAAACAACTCCATGTACAGGGGTCACCCAACAGAGTTGATTGTTGTTCGGGTCGCCTGTTAATCAATAAAATAATTTCGTCAATATTTTGTTCTATGAGGAATAACTGAGTTTCAAGACTCTCTGCTTTTGGGAATGTATTTCTGTACTGCTTCCTCTTGGCCAGAAGACACTTCTGTCTATAATTAACTCTCACTATACTCTTTGGTTCTTTCGGTAAAGTCACATAGCTCTCACTGTCGATTAAATGTCTTAAATTACACTTTTTTAAAGATGTCATATGATCTTCTCTGGCCTTTATCTTCCTGCTAGCAACCATCTCACTCCTGCACATTAACCGATCTCATCCCTCCACCTCCACGGTGGTTGGACGTATTGTATAATATAAAAATAAATGTGCGACTCGTGGGCATGTATGCAGGCCGCCAAGGAGGAACTGGCCAAGAGCGTCCTGGCCGAGCTCCCCGGTCAAGTGGTGCAGTACTTCCGTCAGAGGAACCTGTCGCCGGTCAACTCGACGCACACCGACTGATCCTGTCCCAAGGAACCTCACCATCTGCTGGGAGACTCGATGTGGCCTGTGCTCTTGCCAATTCACTCAACAACCTGATTTTTCCTGGAACCGTGCGGTGGAAACAACCAAAACGAAAAAGTGTTATCCTTGTTATAATATTTGGTACTTTTTATGTCGCTATTTTATATGTTCGAGCCGTTAATTTTAGTTTTGCACCTCCGAATTTTTTTTATCGTCACAGTCGCGACGATCTTCAGCGTTTGCCCCAGCACTGGGCTCAAGGCCATAAATATTTCAATCATGCTTCGTCCCGTAACACTGAGGGATGTAACCGCCCATGCTTTAATGACGTCGCTCATATTTGTAGGTACAGCTTTTTCTTGTCTCCACTGATAAATAAACAGTTCTCCAGATTTTATTTAATTTTAGTTTTATTGTTTTGCTGTCACAGCTGCCCTCTCTCCACTGAACGCGGTTGGCCTGCTGCCCCCTTCTCGCCCCCACCTGTAATATTTGCTGTTCCCAGTAATGCAGGTGTTGGGGGAAGGTTGCAGCATGTTAACGATTACTGTAATTTGTTCTTAACTACGCCGGAGTATCAATGGCATCAGTGGAGATGAGGGGGGATATTCACACATTCTGAACTCAATGCCAAACAAGGATGTTGGTGTCTGGGGGAGAAAACCAACACTGGAGGTGTCGTCAGGAACACCGCGTGGTGGTTCACCACTTCCAGTGGTGTCTTTCCTCGCCGTGACTGCCCTTTGTCCGTACGCGATCTAGCGCGCGGTGTGACGTTTAACGGTGCCGCCGTGAAAACTCTGCTCAATTTGTGACGGGAGGACGACTCCGACAAAAGTGTTTAGGCGATCTCACACGCGCCTTAGTTGCTTAACTCCTGCTAATGAACGGGTGCCGCTTGAACGCAAGCTGCGCGATGGAATCATTGAGCCACTTTCACAAGAGCGAATCGGTAAGGCTTTGCTGTTAGCCGGCGTTGTCAATCGCCGTTTGATTTGAGATGTGGGGGGCCAGTGACAACATCGGGTTTTACCCGTCGTCTGCGCCTCGCCGCGGGTGCTGTGTGAGAATGATGAGTGCCGTGTAAATGTCACTCGAATGTAAAATGTTTCATTTACGCTAGATTGTTTCTGTCATGTACTTGTATTGTTAATAATGTAATTTTTGTAAGCGCTCTGTCAAGTGTAACTTTAAATCAGTAGGCTCGGCATTGTCGCGCTGAATGGTTCGTGACGGTAGCGTCGGTTGCTAATGATGACCCTTTGTATATCATAACGAGAATATATGTAACAATTACTATGCTTGGTTGTAAAAAGCATTTTATTTCGTTTTTTAACGCGAGGAATTCCATTCGCTTTTTTACGTACTGCAGTTGATGAGGAAATTGGGTTCAAGTGAGTTAACGAGACCAACATTTTTCGTCCTGTTTTGCTTAATGCAGTCGGTCAGCGTCAGCGCCTGACCTCCGCTAATGGAAACGTTCAACAACGTGGCAAGACAGGTCGGGCTGGGTCGAGCGTAGCAGCCGCTTTGTTCTGCGTTGACGCTGCATGCAGGACAGCCTCCTGCCGAATGTTGGAGGCTACACAAGGGTTTGTCATCGCTCCCGCTGAGTTTAAAAATAGTCCGAGTGATTGATGCTCCAGGCGGCGGCCCTGGGTTCGCTCCACTGTGATCATTTTCAAAAGTGTAAATTGCGCACGTGCGTGCAGACCAAATGCGACAGCGTCCTCAACGTCCGTACGCAAGTGTGTGCCATCATCGTTATGCATGAGCTGTACTTTTTTTTCATTGTGTCATCATCATGCTGGTCTTAATTGTATCACGAGAAAAAGAGAGACGAAAATGGACCTGAATTACATTTTTTTTATTCTGTACAGTCACACACACACATTGTGGCCAATGTAATGTTCAGCCAAAGCATGCCTTTGTTGACATTCAAAGCAGCAGCAGCAATGAATGGCATGAGACTCGCCACTCGAAAATGTTTTGTACAAATGCCGCCAAGTCGTGGCCTCTATCGAGCAGTGTTCTTTATTTCCCTTTGTCTTTATGCAATGGGATCTTGCTTTGTTCCGAAGTTGTGATCGAAAGTTGAGTAAGACACCAATTTGCTGAAATAGAAAAGAATCGGAACGTAAAAAATGGTTTAAAAAACACCAATAAAAAAATGTTAACTGACATTTACGTTCATAATCAATTTTAATCTTTATACGCCAAGAAAGGCTTTTTCCAACAATGTTTACAGTGGTGAGGTGTTTTGTTCCTTTATTAAAGTTCTTTGGCAAAAATGCTTCTGCTTCTGTTGTGTTTTAGTTGGGAGGGGAGAGTGGAAAATAATGTTGAGTTGGCTATGAGCCCTCATCGGAGACTCAGACAATTACAAAGATCCCCCCATATGGCCTTAACAGACTGGAGGAGCAAGTGATGTTCCTGAGTAGCACCTATAAAGGCTGGCACGGCACACGAGGGGGTGGCCAGAACCACGCCCAGCCGCGTTTGTCTCCTGAGTTTCAATATTTACACACCGCACGAACTACTACTTTGAGGCTGAGTCGACCTAGGGGAGGTCCAGCACCGATTCAGATAATCGTCACTGGTGTTGACCGTGATAATCGAACCCGTTCGTAGCGCAGGGCTCTTAATCGCTGCACCACCACTCCCTAAAAAGGGCTCTCCAACCAGCACTTGAATTTTTTTATTCCGTCCATTTGGCACCACTTCCAGAAAGCCTTAAATATGTTTTTGAAGGCATGACGGAGCATTTGCTTTGCAGAAACAGTCGATTGCATTTGTACATTCAGATACAACAACTATTGAAAGCACTTTAATTCCATCATTTAAAATATGACGTTTATTTACAGAAAGTGACGGTAAAAAATAAATCTATGCAGCACAGTGCTACATCTGTGCGTGACGTCACTGCAAAAGAGCCCCCCCCTTAATTAACATTCATGCCCGCGTGGAAATTGACACAAACGCACAAGGTCGCGCACTCCACATGCCGCACCCCTCCCCTCATTAATAATCATGAGCGTGTGATGTCACTCCACATGCCGCACCCCTCCACAATAACCATGAGGGAGTGACGTCACTCCACATGCTGCACCCCTCCACAATAACCATTAGCGGGTGACGTCACTCCACATGGGGCACCCCCCCCCCCCCTCATTAATAATCATGAGCTAAACAATTTTTCTATTGAATATCTCAGATTTACTGCAATATACACTCGTCCTTGAACGGGCAAATAAGCTAGTTTTAAATTAACAGACATATGTCTTTCTAACATGCTATTTGAAAACTAATTCTAGAATTGCGTTTTGTGTTTCGTTTATTTTCCTTCCCCCGCATCTCAGATTAGCACGGTTGGCTATGTACAGCGTGAAATAAGTGCAAAACACATTAAGGCTGGGTATAATTGTTCCAGGGCTGTAAATACAACATCAGCAATAATGTGGTCTCGCAAATCTACTTATTCAAGGGCCTTATCGTTCCAAGCTGCGCTTCTGAGTGCCGAACAAGAAAACCTCTTAAAATATCTCTCCCAAGCGGTTTGATCCTTGGCAAGTACACAAACAAACCCTGCTTTTAATCGTAAGTCCAGGAGGCAGAGGAACGAGCGTAGCCAATGCATACATCTATCCGCGTCAGCTTCTGCTTTGAACGTAGATAGTTGGTCAATGTTGAGCAGGATGACACGATATTCACATGACCCAGTCGTAGTGCGTGCACCGCTTTCTTTTGCAGAGAAGTTCACCGTTTGAATCAAGCGGTCGCCCTAATTGATTATCACTGCGGGTGTATTTACCACACCGCGCCGCCTGTTTCACGGTGGACCCATAAAGATTCCGTGACGTAATTCGCAAGAGTGGGCCATTGTGTGCCGGTGTCATCCAAATTGGAAATTTGAACAGAGATTTACTCAATTATAACATACAGTGAGGGAAAAAAGTATTTGATCCCCTGCTGATTTTGTACGTTTGCCCACTGACAAAGAAATGATCAGTCTATAATTTTAATGGTAGGTTTATTTGAACAGTGAGAGAGAATAACAATAACAAAATCCAGAAAAACGCATGTCAAAAATTTTATAAATTCATTTGCATTTTAAGAGGGAAATAAGTATTTGACCCCCTCTCAATCAGAAAGATTTCTGGCTCCCAGGTGTCTTTTATACAGGTAACGAGCTGAGATTAGGAGGACACTCTTGAAAAAACACCTGTTCACAAAAGCAATCAATCAGATTCCAAACTTTCCACCATGGCCAAGACCAAAGAGCTCTCCAAGGATGTCAGAGACAAGATTGTAGATCTACACAAGGCTGGAATGGGCTACAAGACCATCGCCAAGCACCTTGGTGAGAAGGTAACAACAGTTGGAGCGATTATTCGCAAATGGAAGAAACACAAAAGAACTGTCAATCTCCCTCGGCCTGGGGCTCCATGCAAGATCTCACCTCGTGGAGTTGAGGTGATCATGAGAACGGTGAGGAATCAGCCCAGAACTACACGGGAGGTTCTTGTCAATGATCTCAAGGCAGCTGGGACCATAGTCCCCAAGAAAACAGTTGGTAACTCACTACGCCGTGAAGGACTGAAATCCTGCAGCGCCCGCAAGGTCTCCCTGCTCAAGAAAGCACATATACATGCCCGTTTGAAGTTTGTCAATGAACATCTAAATGATTCAGAGGACAACTGGGTGAAAGTGTTGTGGTCAAATGAGACCAAAATGGAGCTCTTTGGCATCAACTCAACTCGCCGTGTTTGGAGGAAGAGGAATGCTGCCTATGACCCCAAGAACACCATCCCCACCGTCAAACATGGAGGTGGAAACGTTATGCTTTGGGGGTGTTTTTCTGCTAAGGGGACAGGACAACTTCACCGTATCAAAGGGACGATGGACGGGGCCATGTACCGTCAAATATTGGGTGAGAACCTCCTTCCCTCAGCCAGGGCATTGAAAATGAGTCGTGGATGGGTATTCCAGCATGACAATGACCCATAACACACGGCCAAGGCAGCAAAGGAATGGCTCAAGAAGAAGCAAATTATGTTCCTGGAGTGGCCTAGCCAGTCTCCAGACCTTAATCCCATTGAACATCTGTGGAGGGAGCTGAAGGTTCGAGTTGCCAAACGTCAGCCTCGAAACCTTAATGACTTGGAGAAGATATGCAAAGAGGAGTGGGGCAAAATCCCTCCTGAGATGTGTGCAAACCTGGTGGCCAACTACAAGAAACGTCTGACCTCTGTGATTGCTAACAAGGGGTTTGCCACCAAGTACTAAGTCATGTTTTGGAGAGGGGTCAAATACTTATTTCCCTCATTAAAATGCAAATCAATTTATAACATTTTTGACATGCGTTTTTTCTGATTTTGTTGTTGTTATTCTGTCTCTCACTGTTCAAATAAACCTACCATTAAACTTATAGACTGATCATTTCTTTGTCAGTGGGCAAACGTACAAAATCAGCAGGGGATCAAATACTTTTTTTCCCTCACTGTACATCGCAGTCATCACCCCGACTGCAACGTCTTGGCAGGACCCTCCTTACAACGAATCATGAGACTTCGTTGAGGGCTCTTCTGCATACACAAGCGTAACAATAATGAATAAGAGGCCGTCCATAAATGACGTCACGCGATTTTGGACGATTTTTGACCTCCCCCCTTCGTCACACGGCGTCACAAAAAGTCAGACCCCCCCTTAAATATGACGTCACAAAGCTCTCCCCCCCCCCAAAAAAAAAACATGCTTCAAATCGCTTTAAACTATTGTCATTGTAGTCCGTATTCAATGTGGCGCTGCACTCTGATGTTGTAGGAGAAAACATTAATTAAAAAGTCTATTTAATTAAGTATAGCAATGTTATAGCAATTCTATATTTATTAAAGTTGCGCATTTTGATGTGACGTCACATTTCTCAAACCCCCCTCTCGTCACACATCGTCACAAATGTCTGACCCCCCGCCCCCTAGGTGCGTGACGTCATTTATGGACGGCCCCTTAAAGGCAATGTGATGACGGGCTTGGTATGGTAGATCCCATCACTGTAGAGTTTCCCCAACCGCTTTAGGCGAATTATTTTGCACTTACGTGCGTAAGGGTGTTTGTAAAAGAAACTCCCTGAATGTGACATTGCCACAAGGTAAAATAAAGGTTCAACATTTTAGGCGGTAGCTCGAGTTTTTACGCACAGCACAATGCGTACAGCACAAAGTCTTCAGTAAAGTTTGCATAAAATTAGAGCATCTCATTACTCAAATTAGTTTTTTTTAAAGTGAGACCTATTTGCAGAACTGTTTTATCGCACTTTGTCAATCCACTACTGGATATGAAGGCCTCTTCGGGGCCGTCCATAAATGACGTCACGCGATTTTGGACGATTTTTGACCCCCCCCCCCCCTCGTCACAGATCGTCACAAATGTCTGACCCCCCCCCCCCCCCTAGGTGCGTGACGTCATTTATGGACGGCCCCTTCACCCGCTGGCCAGTGTTGGTTGGTGAAGATGGTGGCCCAGGAACCGGTTCAGATAAAACTCGCCACTGATGTTGGCCATGGCGGGAAATCGAACTTTGGACGCGAGTTTGCACAAACCACTGCTGCTCCCCCATGTCCAGTACTGTATCGCACTTACAAGAGGGTTTAACATGTTTCACGTTCAATCGCTTGTGGAGCCCTTCTGTTTACAGAGCTGAGACGGCAGTTGAAATGTCACAATCCGATGGTGTGGGGTGGGGAGGATTCTATCTACAGGGCAACCGCAGTTGAAGTTCCATACAAAGTGGCACTCATTTGTAATAATAATTTATAAAGTACCCTTAAACAAACTTGATTTGGAGCTTTCGTGTCTGCAGGAATTACTCTTTGGTTCTTTCAGTAAAGTCACGTAGAAAGAACATAAATTAAATAATAGCATACGACGTTTCGATTGCAACACAAGCAATCATCATTAGGTACAAACGAAAGAGAAAACACACCTAGTAAACTTAGAAATATAATGCAATACAACACAGGTGATGGCAGTCCCGTAAGTGGATTCGTGAACCCGTCTGTACGGATCTCACGAAGTGTTATATATAAACACAGACACAACTTCAACTGGGAAGATGGACACAAACTGAGCAATCATTGGAAGGACGTTATTGCACTATGGGGACCTCATTTGCCAGTAAAAATATGATAATTGGTTCTTTACCCTTCTATCTGGCAACAAAACTGACACCTTTTTGCAAGGAGTCATGTTTGCATAGACCGCAATACCTGCAGTCATAATACAAACAAAAGAACA